GGCTAAAAGTTTGGCCATCCTCTTCTAATGGAAAAAGGAGGTATGTCTTAAATAATGTATTTCATGTACTTAAAATATTTAAGTGGTGTGGAACCTTCTTAATAATTATAAAAAAAACTGTATTTTGGTTGCAAGTCACACGCACACAGTAACTGTCATATGGAAACTTGATTTGTGAAGGAGGATGTTGGCCGGTTTCTATTTATGCATTACTACAGGCACAAGTGGGCACCTGTGTGGACTCACCATCCTTTCATAAGATTGATGTATAGTTTTCTCACATGAAAAAAATGAGCCGCGTCACGACAAAACCAACATAATGCGTTTGCGAACAGCATGGATCCTGATCAGACTGCAAACGCACTATGTTAGTTTTGTCGTGACATGGCTCAAATCAGAAATTCTTGGTCACAGACAGTGATCTTAAGCTGACTAGTTAGAAGCACTTCGTATCATTTTGCCTGCACTGGTGTGGGTTAAAACAGACAATATAAGGATGTTGAGTTCTATTAATTGAATGTTGGCCTAATGGTTAAGGTGTCTCCCACTCAACCTAGGGATCGTGGGTTCAAGCCACAGTCACAACAATAGTTTTTCAGTCATATATACCAGTATTACAGTTGTACTAGTTAGTCCCTGGAAGCCAATTTTAAAGTGTTTGATTTAAGTTGCATGTACTTGTTTCTCAGTAGAGCTTAGACAAATATATTTTTTATTTATTTTTAGTTAGGTAGTTATTCAGTTAGCTTTTCTTTGTTCTGTTGTGTTTCTATTAATATTCTGTCTGATGAGTTTGAAACAATTTATTGATGACTGTCACATGAAGGTCAACCTCTACCAGTAAAATTTACTTACATAATTACATGTATGATGCCATGAAACCTTTAATGGGTATAAAGCTTTATAATACATGTATCTAATGAAATATATTTATTAGATTTAAAATGATTTTCATAATTTTATGGTCTTTTAATGAAGAAGTTGTCACATAGAATGCCAATGTTATTTTACACATGACTAGTGTATGTAAAGAGAATAAAATATTCTGAAACAAAATATTACACTAATTTTCAAAGCAGGGTCTTAATTGTTTGCAAGATTTAGTGGCATGCCCAAATCCCTCTTCTTTCATTCAGGCATTTAAAAATGGGAATAATCCATTTTGAAAATTCAAACAAATATTTTGTAAACTGCAGACATATTATAGCTTTACACTTTATAACATTGTGAATACAAAATTGCTAGTGATCTTTGAGCATTTGATTTTTGAAAGAAAACAACAACTTGTAACTTTTTTTTGATATTTATAAATTTCATCATGTTTTCATGCTAATTTCAGTAAATAATGAAGACCCTTGTCCACAGTGTTTCCAGAAATACAAGAAGGTACAATGGGACACATTACACCCACCTGCTAAAGTGGAGAGGAATATAACAAATGCTGGATCAAGTGCTTATAGGAACCCAGTGCCACCTGGACAGTATGAATTCATTTACTTTTGTTTAAAATAATTGCCTGACACTTAACTTGCTGGATTACTAAGTGATAAGGGGTTTGCCACCATTTTAGTCCGAAGCTCTACTTTTTTGGAAATAAGTGTTAATGTATTTGTCGCCAGTTTAGTACAAGGCCAGTCTGCACATCTGTCTGACCAGGCTTTATATACATGTATACTGTTGGTAGCTCAATCTTTGAATTTTGTGATTGAAATCCCTTAACATTTTACTGAACTGTTTTCCAATTTCAAAATTCGGCAAATGGCATTACACATATTCAGCTGGTTAAGGGTTAATCTTTTTGGTACCACTGTTTTTCTGCTTCACAGAAGATTTATTCACTGTTTATTCAATACCCGTATAAAAAATAAATATTAAAAAAATATGCAATTTTTTTGATATCATAAAAGTACAAATATTTCCAGTATTTTCCTGCAGGTGCTAAAAAATGTCATAATTTATATTTATAGAGTTCATTTGTCTCAAACAAACATTTTAGTTTTATTAAGTATAATTCAACATTTAGCTATAAAGCTTAAACCTCAGGCTTTACATAAAGATGTGCATTAAATAATTTCTTTTACAGAAAAATGCCCACACAGCTGCAGCAAAACTTAATGAAACATGAGGCACGGCGTAAGAAAGAAGCCCCCAAAAAAGTAGTGCAAGATAGAGATATGGCGTCAAAGTTTTACGGAGAACATCTGGATCCGAATGAACTTTTTAAATTTAGAATGCCCGAAGGAAAGGAGCAGTCCCTTCATCTGTAGGGGGCCCCGTAATGTTGAGATTATAATAACAATAAGATAATATCACATTTTGTGTCCCTATAAGTTAGTTTGACACAATTATTCTGTCCCTACAAGATAATAAAAACCCACTTTTTTACCCTATAAGATAATAAAGTACATTTTCTGTCCATTTAAGTTAATAAAGTACATTTTCTGTCCCTATAAGATAATAAGGTACATTTTCTGTCCCTATAAGTTAATAAAGTATATTTTCTGTCCCAGTATGTGAATGAGATATATTTTCTGTCCCTGTATAAAGTTAATGAAATATATTAACTTCTTGGGATGTGTATGGGTTGTGAGGGAGGGTGTTGGGGTGGGGGATGGGTGTTACATACATGCATTGATTTACAATATATGGTACATGTACTCTGTCAATGACAAGATGACCATTTAACAACTGTTATTATATTTTTAGCTCGACTATTCGATAAGAATAAGTAGAGCTATTGTAGTCACCCGAGCGTCGGCGTCTGCGTCGGCGTAACCACTTATGTTAAAGTTTTTGTAATAGTTGAAATATTTTCAAAGTCCATTAAAATATGGCTTTGAAACTTTGCACACTTGTTCACCATCATTACCCCAACCTGTAGACAGGAGGAGGTAACTGTATCAAGCATTTTGACAAAATTATGCCCCTTTTTCGACTTAGAATTTACGTTAAAGTTTTTGTAATAGTTCAAATATTTTCAAAGTCCATTGACATATGGCTTTGAAACTTTGCACACTTGTTCACCATCATTACCCCAACCTGTAGACAGGAGGAGGTAACTGTATCAAGCATTTTGACAGAATTATGCCCCTTTTTCGACTTAGAATTTTTTACGTTAAAGTTTTTGTAATAGTTCAAATATTTTCAAAGTCCATTGACATATGGCTTTGAAACTTTGCACACTTGTTCACCATCATACACGCAACCTGTAAAACAGGAGAGGTAATTGTATCAAGCATCTTTTTTTTACTATCAGAGCACTAAGATAGTCGAGCGTTGCTGTCCCTTGACCGTACAGCTCTTGTTTCAATACAGGTGACTTAATGTGGTATAAAAAATGTCAGCTGATTTTCATCAGCCCATAAGCACACTAAATATTTAATATTGTCAATCTTTTAATATGGACAAAAACCATTAATAATTTCAAAGTATGTACTGATCAAATAACAAACAGTGCATACCATTAACAGACAGTATGAATGTACCGGCTGATCTTGGTCTGGATTTAGTTACATGGGTCGATTTGGTGGTTACAATAGCAAAAAAAGTGTTTATTGCTACAACTTTTCATCGTTCATTTAGAAGTTTATCAGATAATCATTAACATTTATTTGATAATTTCAGGAAGAACAAACAAGTGATAAGAAATGCTGTTTGTGTATTTATAGAGTTTTGTTGTTATAGGTGTAAAACTATTACATTTCATATTTAACAATTATAATATATTGCTAGTTTCTCATACATATATTTTTTAGCTCACCAGAGCCGAAGGCTCAGGGTGAGCTTTTAGTATCAAAGGGGGATGCTCCCGCGTCCATCGTCCGTCGTCATGCGTCAACAATCATCTTCTCTGAAACTACTCAGCAGATTTTACTGTAGCATCCTTGTGACAGTTCAAACTTTAATTTGCTCAATGTCATTCCAATTGGCCCCTTTTAGGGGTCAGCAGAGCTAGAAATAGAAAAAAACTTTAAACATCTTCTTCTACAGAACTAATCGATGGATGATCACCAAACTTTGTCTGTAGCATTCTTGGGTAGTCTTTTATCAAGTTTGCTCATATTAATTTGATTGGCCCCTTTTAGGGGTCTCTAGGGCTAAAAATAGAAAAACCTTTAAACATTTTCTTCTACAGAACTAATTGATGGATGATCATCAAACTTTGTCTGTAGCATTCTTAGGTAGTGTTTTATCAAGTTTGCTAATATTATTTTGATTGGCCCCTTTTAGGGGTCTTTAGGGCTAAAAATAGAAGAACCTTTAAACATCTTCTCCTACAGAACTAATTGATGGATGATCACCAAACTTTGTCTGTAGCTTGTTGGGTAGTCTTTTATCAAGTTTTGTCATATTAATTTGATTAGCCCCTTTTACAGGCCGATAAAATTAAAAATAGAAATACGTTTAAACATCTCCTACAGAACTAATTGATGGATGATCACCAAACTTCCTCTGTAGCATTTTTGGGTAATCTTTTATCAAGTTTGCTCACATAAATTTTATTAGCCCCTTTTAGGGCCACTTAAGCTAGAAATAGAAAAAAACCTTTGAACATCATTTCCTACTGAAATAATTGATGATCACCAAACATTGTAGCATTTTTAGGTAGTCTGTTATCAAGTTTCCTCATATAAATTTGAGCTTAAATGCCCCAGGTCATGGCATTTCTTCAAATTATTGTTTAAACATATTCTATGCTCAAATTTAATTTTAGAAATATTGACATTCCAACACTGAAAAACAGTTGTTTCTGGTGAGCGACTCAGGGCCATCATGGCCCTCTTGTTACATTTTGAACTTGTGATATATTAATTTTGACCATACATTTTAGGTTTCTCTGTGATATTTCCAGACTTTGCATTGTATAATTCTTTCTTTTCTGGATTACCTGTATGCTAGTATTTTCTACTAAGAACTTTGTGAAAGTATTTTTGTTGTCCGTTTTCTACAGAGATATGAAGAATTTTTCTTCTGTATTGTTTGTTATATTATTGTAAAGTTGACATAAATTTTGAAATTGTGATTTATATTGTTATTTAAATTTGAATTTTGTACAGCTGTCATTTCAAGATTGATTCATAGTGGGTCTAGTAGTTCGTTTATTCTTTTAGTTAAGATGATTTGGCTTACTTCGGGTGACTTATTTCTAAGCAACACCAGGTGTCAAAACCACCTTACCTGCTGGAGCTTAGAGATGCATAGACCCCAGTTATTAGAACCCATTTAATTGCCTCTTATGATCACCTAGGGATAAGTGGTGGCTGCAATTCTTATGCCGCAACAAGCCCTCAGCCACAAAGGGTTAACTTGCCGGTTTGTGCTCAAACAATTGCACAAGAGGGGGGGCACAGGAGGTCTTTTTCCATTAGTTAAATGGGAATTGGCTATGTCATCTGTAATGTGTCTGAGTGAATTAACCCTTAAACCTGTTTGAACTGAAAAATGGTTACTGGTATTTTGAAAATCCCTTTAGATTAAAATGGACTGTTCCTCATTCAAAGCAGGGCAAGTCCATTCCACAAATTCAGCAGGTTAGGGATTAAAAATATGTTTAAGGGGGGTAATTTGATTGAGCTTATGACGATTTAAATGGAATATGTATATTCTATCATCGTAATATTTGCTAAAACAAAAATATTGTGATATTGTAATGCTTTTACTAGTCCCCTACCAGTTTAAAGCAGGGGGACTTTAGGTTTATTGTACATGTAATTGCATATTTTATAAGTTGATGTATTTTGAACTAAAGTTGTTATTGTTGTTGAAAAAACTGGTATTCTATGTCAGAAATATCTATATTTATGATTTTATTGTAATAAAAGTGAAATGACCTTATTTTCTTATTTTATTAGCCCCCTATCAAAAATGGGGGATGTGCCCTCGCCAAGAAAATTTTGGACTTGTGAGGGGCTAAAAAATGGCCTCGGGTTGATCTAAAGGTAACATGTAATCAATGCTGAAACGCCTTTGACTATCTCAATCCATTGAGAAGTTGCAGCACTTTGAAATCAGTTTTGATGGAAAAAACAACACAAAATAGTGATTTTTGGCAACCTTGAGACGTCCCCCATTGCCATGGTAACAGGAAATTTTAAGATCTAGCATGCTGTTAGAAAGGCTATGGTCCAGTCAACATTTGTGCCAAGTTTGATAAGTATTGAAGCATAGTTTAATAGCAGTTTGAACTTTTAACAGGAGGCTTTTCAATGAAAACAGTCATTGTTTGCAATATTCTCATGCGTTAAAAGTCAATAAAGGGATATGATAACACTAAATGGTTCCAAGACAAAGTTATGTACTCTTGAATATGAATGGATGTGAATATCATAGATAAGTATTCCAGGTTTCAAACCATTACCTGATGGCTGAGCAAGTACAAATTTATTTGAGTTTCTAAGTTATAACATGTGGAGCATTATATACTTGGGTCTTGGCATTATGCATACCAGTTGAAATAATGGTCAATGTTATCTATACAAAGAGTGAAACCAGTAATATTACATTGTGTTTTGTGAAACACTGTTGACTTAAGTGTGAAGCTAGCACCAACACCTCGGTTATAGAATTTGTTGCTCGTAAATGTATGTAATAATTGAACTTGCATTAAAATCAAGCTCTGTTATATAAGCAACCATCTCAAATGACATCACCAGAAGTTGCAAAAAAATTTGACAAGAATACAATATAAAACTAATCATACAACTTCTTTTCATCATAGTTGGAATGGATACAGTGGGGAAGAAATGAAACTAAGGACAATATACTTTATAAACTTTATTAAGGAATGCTTTTAATTTAACACAGTACTTTAACTTAACACATTATCATAAAGCCAATACATTAAATATATAATATTTGTACTGATTATCTAGATAAGAGAAAATTGGAATACTGATACACTTCCCATTTTAAAGGGACTCTACTGAGGTCAAAATGTCTAAAAAAAATAAAATCTTAAGATATTTCTTCTGAAATTCTTGGGTAGATAAGGCGAAGCATTGACAATGGAAAAATCTGCAAAAGGAGAAAAAATATGCTCAGCATTATATTGAAAACTGATCTTTTTTTGGGTGATTCTGGGCCCAATTTAACTGAAAAAGGTTCATTTCTGGGTCATTTGCACAATAAGATTGATGATTCTGGAAAGATGAGGACAGGATCTTATAATTTGGATACAAGTTATTGGTCTACACCTACATTAAAAAGTACACAAATCTCGGAAAATATAATGTCTCTTCATGACAAAATTAAACCACAGTGGAGTCCCTGTAAATAATTAGATCAAAAAGATAAACATAAGTTATAGATACATGTACTTACATACCTTTAATCAAAACACTGCTAAATACAATTCAAACTTTAATCAGGCTTTGAAATTGAGGCGGTAGAAAGTCAGTATTATATATATGTATTATATATATATAGCAATTAAGTTTTTAAAAAAATGGCAGGGAAGTACTAAATTCAATCACATAGGCATCATAGTTAGCACCCAAACCTACCAATAATTAATAACAGTAGAGAAGGATTAAATTCAATTATATAGTTTACAATGGTAGGAAAGGACTAAATTCAATAACATAGATTATAACATAGATTATTATAAATTATAATGGTAGGAAAGGACTAAATTTAATTATGTAGTTAAACATAAATTATAATGGTAGGAAAGGACTAATTTCAATAATATATATAATAACAAATGACAAATACTTGGGTTTCTAAAGAGAGGTAATAATAATGAACAACTTTCCCCAAAAACCATTTTTAACCAATATTATAAGCTTTAATTTGAAATAACCAAAAAGTATAAGCCAACAGCTATTTTTAATCAATATTCTTTAATATAAATATAAGCTTTAACTATTTTTAACCAATATTCTTTTATATAAGCTTTAATTTGAAATAACCAAAAATTATAAGCCAACAGCTATTTTTAATATGAATATAAGCTTTACCTATTTTTATCCAATATTCTTTAGTATAAATATGAGCTTTAATTTGAAATAACCAAAAATTATAAGGTAACAAATATTTTTAACCAATATTCTAAGCTTTAATTTGTAATAACAAAACATTTTAAGCAAAAAAAAATGCAGCAATAAATATGACAATTTCCTACACAAATATATAATATGTACCTTTTCCCTTTAGATATGATACAAATCATTGTAACAGTTATAAATATACATCATTTTCATTCTTTTCCTGTTCAAAAATGATGTCATTTAGCAAATGGAAATCTAGTATAAGCACATACAAGTAGTTCAAAATTAAACATAAATCCTTATTTATTGCCTATTTCTATTGCACAGTTCCCAAATTAAAATAAGCTATTCTACAAACATTTTATTATATGCATAATACGATATAATTTAAGAGAATGGTTATAATATATTGATATATTTTTGTATTACTTGTATATATAACATATAAACATATCAAAAATAGGTTTCTGGGAAATGCATAGAAGTAATATCATTCAATGGAAAAGAATTAATATGTGTTCTGCTTTTTTTCCAATCCATACATGTGTACATTGTGATGTAAAATGATACATGCTTGTAAACATATAAAATATGTTTAAACTAAATATCACATACTTTTTACACATATATTTTCTGTTGGCACTTTCAATGCTGTACACATATCTTCAGACAGTTATGTATTATATAATATTCTAACACGACCCGCATTTTTCACTATTGAATATAGAAGAACTGAAAGTGTGTGTTATTATTCAATAAAATCACTGTTGATGTTCTATATTTAAACATGTGATGTAATCATTACACACGTGACATTACCACTCAAAATGTGATGCCCTGAAAATAAGTACGCAAACAAATCAGGCGCAAGTTAGATTAATATCAGGTACGGCAGAATGCATTTTTTTGATGTGTTAGAATCGAAATGATATATCCAAATCGGTGATTTTATCGCTTGATAACGCCACTGTTTGTCGTTCGGATGCGCATCATTATCTCGTGATATAATTCCTCACATCAAACTCCAAACAGTGATGTTATTGAGCAATAAAGTAACTGTTTTGGATATATTATTTCTTAAATAACAAGTATAAGAATGACGCAATGTTATGAAAGTGCGGGAAATGTCAAAATACCAAGATATGCGGCAAATAAAAATTCTTGTACATTTATCAAAAGTAATATATTGTACAAAATATGTGTATAATATGCATTTCCCAGAAACCTCTCTTTTTATATATTACATCCACTACATCCACACAAGGAATCAAATTTCTTTTTTTTTAACATATAAATATATTATATACAGTACTTTACACACTTCTATTTTAAGCATTTTCCCATTGTAATGTAAAGTAGTTATTCTCAGAGTACAGTTAGACACTGATATGAAAAGAATGCATTTAACACATGTCCACATATACAATGTATTATGCTTGTAACAGACAAAAACAAAACAAAACAACAAATGTATCAATTATAACACACGGTTAAGTAAACTTCAATTCAATAAAATTATAATAACAACTAACGTCAGCAGATATGTAAGGTATCACTAACAAAAATGTCATTGGAGCATTACCTCAAGTAATAGAATTCCAAAACAAGTTACTTGCTTATATTAGTGAGTCATAGAACCCTCATGCAAGTAAGTTGATAATTTTTTGGAATTGTAAAATCATCTAGGGAATGAAAAAGAGTTGTAGAATCATCAAGAAACCTTTGGAGGTATAGAACTCTCAAGAAACTTTTGGTATTTGTATAACCCTCAAACAACAACCCTAAATAATCTTTTGGAGTTGCAAAACCCTCAAGAAACATTTGTGAGTTAAAGAACCCTCAAGAAACTTTTGGACTTATAGAACCCTAACATAATCAAGCAAGTGAATTTTTACCTTGATTATCACTTCATTCTGCAGTTTCTTTTATATGTAACTAATAACTATATGCAGGAAAGATGTATATCATATGAAAACAATTAGGCTCAAGAAATAGGCCAATTAATATTTTCAATACACAAGTGGGAAATAGGGCCAAGTACACAAAATAACATACAGATATCAAGTGCTGTGCTTTTTTATATGCATTATGCATTTGCTTTCATGTATCTCCTTTCAAAATAAAACAGCTAATTTAAGAGTTCTAGAAAAGATCAGGTCTCAAATAATTTGCCAAAAATTAAATAAAATTAATTGAAAGTTGTGTTTCTATATAACACACACAAGTATTAGGCTAAACTTTATCATCATTCAATGGTTAGATTTTGGTTTCAAGTCACACCAACACTTTTAAAGTCAAATTGTCACTTTTCAACTTAAGTGGTGGAGGAAGATGATCTCAGGTGCCCCTATGAGCATTATTTGGGAACTTGATTAGAACCATCGACATTCTGTTAGCTACCTGGAATTATATGTATTCTGAAAACTTAACAAATGAAATAAGCTGCACCCTAATGTTAAGCAATAATATGATAATAATAATATCCCTTACCATATAAACATAATTAAATTTTAATATATGTATGATTAAAATGTACATATTTAGACCACCATCCTGTTTTATTCAATTTTCATGGGCATGAAACAAAATCTTAAATATGAACACCAAAAATGAAAATTCATCTTAAAATAATGTTGCAAAAATGATCATGAAAAATCATCTTTACTAAGTAGTAAGCCAATATCTCATAAATATCTCAAGTTTTGAAATATATTGATTTTTTTTCCATAAAAAAACTTGAAATGTATACATAACAAAACAGACTGGTAACCAGTGCTTTAAACAAATCTCTCATTGGTTAATCTTCTTATACGGACTTTGAATCAACCAATCAGAAAGCTCAACTCTGAGCCAGGTTTCAAAACCAGTCTACAACAATAAATGCTTTCAGCACATTTTTCTTTTTTACTAAGCTATTTCAACAAAACTTTATTCATAAAATCGACCAATGAAATGCAGGAATATTTTAGAGCAATTTCTTATCTGACCAATGATATATGCTTAAGTTTGTGAAGATATTTACTTCACTAATGATTATGGAATGAACAATCTGGCAGTTATAACACTTTAATGATACTGAAAGACAATCCCTCTGAAATGACCAATTGCACCTCCATTAACACAATAAGTAAAGCTATCACAGACTTGTTTCTTATCTTTGTTTTCATCCAAATAGGTCATCAAGGTCATTTCTTACAGACGGTACATTATTCACTGAATTCTGATTATTGATTGACTGAGGTTGCATCAAATTCTGTCCACCCATTGGCTGGGACTGTAACATACTCCCTTGACTACCCATGCCACCTAGCTGGAAATTCATACCACCACCACCACTAAATCCTGAACCCATGTTTGACCCTCCAAACCCACTGTTCATCATCCCTTGGTTTCCCATCATGCCCTGCTGGCCCATTATTCCTTGGTTACCCATCATGCCTTGATTTCCCATCATTCCTTGATTTCCCATCATTCCTTGATTTCCCATAATGCCTTGTTTAGCCATCATGCCTTGGTTACCCATCATGCCTTGGTTACCCATATTTCCCATCATGCCTGTCTGCTGCATTGATGAACCCCCTGGATTTTGACCCATTTGACTCATAGATACTTTAGGTTTCTGAGAACTACTTGTCATAAGATTATCAAATGATGACAGGTCCACAGACTTGTTTCCTTGACCTGCAACTGAACTTTGACCAAAGGAATTCTGGGAATATGAACTTGCACTTGATAACCCGAATCCCCCTTGATTCATAGAAGATCCATATCCTGTACTCATTGAACTGACGCCAGATTTAGAAGTTTGATTCCCGAAAGAGCCACTATTAATACTGCTATTGGAACTCAGTCCCATCGTACCATTGTATGAGTTTGTAGGTTTATTTGATGACAAACTCAGTCCAGACATGTTTGACTGCATGAGACTGGAGGTCAAGTCTTTAGGCTGGTTTGAGGCTGTTTTAGGCCTGTTCTGAGATTGAGTGTTTGAAGATTTGACATCAAGAGGTTTGGCAGCTTTTAGGAACCTTTGCTGTTCCTGTTGTTTCGCAATTCTTTGTTTTTCCTCCAGTGAAAGCGTTACCTGTAAGACAAATATTCTGATTTGTTATCCCTCTGTGGAAAGTTGCAAACATTTCCAAATAGATCAGCATATTTGACAGTCGGCATAAAAAATTAAAAAAATTTTGTCACAAGACATTTTTATTGTAGCTTACGCTAAAAATAAATAAGAGAATTACCCTTGAAATGTTGAAGATAAATTTGATTAGATTATGATAAGCGTAATTCCGTACCTTTAAAGAGTAGAAAATATCTTTCAATTATGTCAAATAAAGAAAAAGACCTAAAAGTGTTTTCTCATGCTGGTGTCCAATTAATATTATTAAGCTATAACATAAGGTAAAGACATTTCAAAGATTGAAAGGACATTTGAATGTTATTCCTTCTTTTTTTTGAGGAGTGGAAGGTGCTAGGTTTCAAAAGTCACATCAACATTGTAATGATTACAATGGTGACTTTCCAGCTTTACGGGTGTGAGATAACCTTTGAAGCATCTCCATGCCTGATGTCAGACACACACTGACTTTCCAGCTTCAAATTTGAAGAAGACCTCAAGTGCCCTTCTGTGTATTATTTCAGGCATAAAAGGCACCCGAAAACCATCAAAGTAGCTGGATGACTTCCTCACATGAAAGAATGGGATTTAAACACACAGGAATGATCGGAAAGTGGCTTGAATTCAATGACCTGAACAACTCAACAAAGGACCCCACAAGACACATATTTGCTTTCTTGTTTTTTCCCATCTAATTGATAGACCAAGATAAAGCTATTATATGCAATGAAATAGAAATATGCCATGAAGTAGTTCTTCGCTATTAGTTACTTAAGTGGGCCAAGAAAGGATCAACAAAAAAAATCAAAAGATAAAAGTTTAGTTTTATAACTTATGTAACAAGTGACGACAGACAAAAAGAAAAGTCACTTTACTCATAATCTGTGCAATGGATTTGCCCAGCTTTGAATATGGATCAGTCCATCACTGATATATAGGGATTTCAGTATCAAAACTCTAATCTTTACACAATCTTGTAGGACTACAGGGTCTGTAGGCTGACAAGGCTCTCATTGACTAACAATGGTCTGTTACTTACCTTAGCAGGCTGGCTGGTTGCAGGCTGTGATGGCTGGACAGATTTGCCTGGGCTCGGACTGTAAGATTTTTCACCTCCTCCCATTCCAAAACCTGACAGGAATGAGTCCATCTGAAATCATGAAAAAATTCTATACATGTACATTGTATTAAAATGGTGACAGAAAACGTCATTTTGTAATCTTTTCAGTTTCTTTTGTTTCATTGATTTTATGTCACACCAACACTGTAAAGGTCATACACTGACATTTCATATTTACTGGTGGATGGAGACCTCAGGTGTCCAAATTTTGCATTATTTCAGGCATAAGGGGGAACCTGAGTAGAACCAATAAACCAAAACTTTAAAAGATTTAAGAGGCAGTAATAAGACTTTACTTAAAGTATGAGAACAGACTAACAATAAACTTTGATTATTTACATAAGTTTAAATTAAAGTCTTATGCAGTATTTTTGCAAGAAAGTTTACTTCTATAAATTGTAAACACTAGAATAAGTCCATTTACTTTTATCACATTCCCTCACTTTTACCCTTCTATATAACATGGTGCACAAAGAATATTCTAGGTAAAAAAGATGTCTTATAGGCAAAGTAAGATAGAAGTTTATATCAAATCCTATTCAAGAACAAATATGGAGCAGGGCTCACTCTGTCAATAGCCATTTTAACCCTTTGCATTAATTTTCATAATTTGTCTTCAGAAATTACAATTTGGTGACAGAATTTCTTACCAATGATTTGTTATTTTGATATAATATTGAATGAAATCAGAAAATCGAACTTATTTGGCCAAAAAGAAATTTTCACCCAAGGGTAAGCCCTTGTGGATTTGAACCCTAACTTGGGTCATTACCATGTTTCCTCATATGACACCAGTACGGTTAGTTCCAGGAAGTGGACTTGCAGAGTGTTCAATTAAATAAATAATGCTTCACAATTTAGGTTAAATTCACAAATGTAAAAACTATGAATGGGTAGCAAATGATGGTAAAATGGACATACCAATGGTTTTAGGTTTTTCCTCTATACCGCTGATTCAGAGTCCTTATATCATCTTGTTCTGTTATCTTAGTAATCTCCATGCTTCTACAATACATAATCTTACAAATCATATAGATTCTCAATACTTTTTGTATCAAATATGTAAGGTGTAGAAGGTTTCAAAAATTTCATTTTTTTAGGCTGGGTTATAAGTTGCTCCAACTTTGTAAAGGTCATATGGCGACTTTAGAGCTTTACTGGTGGAGGAGGACATCAGGTGGGGTGCCCCTCTGTGCATTATTTCAGGCACCTGCACAGAACCACTGATATTAAGGTAGCTAAATGGATAGCTCCCTCACAAGAAAGAATTCAAAGTCCCTGGCAGGATTTGAACCCACAGGGCTGAGGGGCAAATTAATAAATAAATATTATCAAGACATTATTCTCAAATCAAAATTGTCAGCTTTTTAACATGAAGTAATAAATTATCATTAAGAAAAATAAGCCACATAAAACAAGTCTATCCTTCAATTTTTAAGCATTTTGTGTAAAGCAAACACTTATTTAAAATATTTTGTATATCAAAAAGCTTATAAGGTAACAAGAAAGTCATATAATTTTTTGCAGAAAAACTAGAAAGCAAGGAAACAAAGTATTTAACAAACTTTTGTTCTTGTTTCATCTGTTCCAGCTGTTCTAATTTACCCCTATGTTCAGTCTCAATTTTTGTTATCATCTCCCGTATTAGTGTAATAAATGCTGTAAACTGTAATATATAAATGTGTAATCATCTGCCGTATAAGTGTAATAAATGCTGTAAACTGTAATATATAAATGTGTAATCATCTTCCATATAAGTGTAATAAATGCTGTAAACTGTAAGATATAAATGTGTAATCATCTTCCGTATAAGTGTAATAAATGCTGTAAACTGTAAGATATAAATGTGTAATCATCTTCCGTATAAGTGAAATAAATGCTGTAAACTGTAATATACAAATGTGATATCATCTCCCGTATAAGTGTAATAAATGCAGTGAACTGTAATATATAAATGTGTAATCATTTCCTGTGTAAGTGTAATAAATGCTGTAAACTGTAATATATAAATATTTAAACATTTCCCGTATAAGTGTAATAGATGCTGTAAACTGTAATAAATAAAAGTGTAATATTTCCTGTATAAGTATAACTAATGCTGTGAAGTGTTGTATATAAATGTGTAATCATATCCTTGTATAAGTGTAATAAATGATGTAACCTGTAATATACTTGTATAAACATAATAATTTTTTTTAATATATAAATGTCTTGTTTTACTAACTTAAGTTCTAAACGTAAGCTAAGCAGGTAGGTTTAAAAACTCACAAAACCACATAATACGAGAAACCCTGATAATAGTGAGAATCAGGGATACTTCTGTAAGAAGCAAGGTTTTTAGATGCTTAAAAATAAAATGAAAGTACTGACCTGACCAAGGTTAAACTATGTTCAATGGAGACTGTCATAAGAAATGGAACCACTTTTCCAGCCAGTATATCCTTAGTGATACCAAGTTTTGTCATGTGAAAATGCTACTTTGTAAATACTTAAAAATACCACAAAATATTATTATTGTGCATATCTATGCATAGTTTATTCATATCTGTTATCTAGCAAATAGCCAATAAAATACTCTGCGCGATGGATTAAACTCCGCCCCTCCAACATATTGTAATAGGTTAAACTCCGCCCTCCAACATATTGTAATAGGTAACTCCGCCCATACAGCATATTGTAATGTTCACAGTGAAATAGTGGAAAAAGCCAATGAGAAACTTTCTTGGGTTAAAAACTCCCACCCTTCCAGCAAATTGTATGATAATGATACTGTGGTAGAAAGAAGTTTTTTGTGTTATTTAGAGTACATTTGTGTCCTGTAACAGATTTAGTGTTATTTTATTCATCAAGAATTCCTCCCAAAATATAATGTATAAGTTGATTGTTTGCATCATAAAGTTTGTGCGAAATCGCATTTCAAAAGGTTAAGGACATTAACTTTTGTGTGTGGAATTGTTTGCGAAGGAACACAGCAGCAACAATTTTTTTTAAGTTACAGTGTGATCTTAATCCAAGGAAGCCTGAACTTATGCTCTGTACAGCATCCAACTAAAGTTAGCATTTCTGGAGTCTTCTTTTAATTGCCTTCAATCAGTTCAAAAGATACAGAGCGAACACAAAAACTTCCGCCTGGGTTCAAACCCTGTCAGGGGCAAGCCGTTGTTTCCTTGAGCAAGAAACTTTACATTCATTGCTTAGTACTGGTTGGTTCCAGGAACGGATTCGAGAGTGTTTCAATAAGCTTATAGCTTCCAACACAATCGAACTAAAATAAATTTGTATAAACTAAACACAAAAACTTCCAAGAGCCGTCACACCAAAGGCCTAGGAAATACCAAAGTTCCCTTTCTGCATAATAAAACATAATGAAATACTAACCTAGTACACTCATTAAAACAGCTGGTTCCCGGGATGGAATTTGTGGTAACAAGGGTAAAATTTCATCCAGAACATACCATTTATCCATTGCCTCTAATAGTTTACCAAGAGACAGTAAACAATTGACTCTTACCTGCAAATAAACACACCAGAAAAAAACAATGGTAGTTATAATACATATCTTTTAGAGTATATTCTTTGGAGATGTTTTGTTTACAGTCTCACTGTATATATTCATAAATAATACCATTACATCATAATCTTATTCATAAATAATACCATTACATCATTATATTAATCCTAAATGATACCATTACATCATTATCTTATTCCTAAATATTGAGTTCACATCATTATCTTATTCATAAATAATACCATTGTAATAATTATTATCTTATTAAGTTAATCATTATCTTATTCATAAATAATAATATTATATCATTATCTTATTCCTAAATATTAAGTTTACATCATTATCTTATTCATGAAAAGTACCATTACATCATTATCTTATGATGAAATGTTAAGTTTACATCATTATCTTATTCATAAAGATTACCATTACATCATTATCTTATTCCTAAATGTTAAGTTACATCATTATCTTATTCATAAATATTAACATTACATCATTATCTTATACCTAATTGTTAAATTTACATCATTATCTTATTCATAAATATTACCATTGCATAATCATCTTATTCAGAGCAACAGATAAGCTTTTAAAGTGAATTGGGTATTACTCCATCATTTCCTTTGGAATTGGGTATTGGCTCCATTTAATTGGGTATTCCAAAACTCAATACCCTATTATTTCAAGATCAATTGGGTACATGTGTATTCAATTATGAAGATATGAATTTTATGGTTTCAATATCAATAAAATTTAAACTGTTTTAAAAAGAAAATAGGATTAACAATTTACTAGAACTTTTCACAATTGTTTTATTTTTTTATATAAAATGCTCATGTTATATTTGATAATATTTTTAACAAGTTCGTTTTCTGACTGTTTTTTGATTATTAACGTCTGTTTTGTTTCAAATCATTTTCCCTTTTGTATGACGCCATAATGTTTTCAAAGCGTCTATTGATACAGCTGGGACCTACTTATTGACGGTCTCCGCAAAATCAATGGTCTCTGCCGATCTGTAAAGACCGTTGGCCTGAGTAGACAAATCGACGGTCTCATGTTTTATTGATATGGCTAAGTCGGTCTTTGGAGACCAGGGACCGTCGAAGACCGCAGACCGTTGATTACTTAGCATTAATTCGGGAATATTCCAATAGCATGCATATCGATATAATTTGTCCAAAACTACGAGCATACGACAGATTAATTTTGCGGTGATGAAAATGACAATACGCACAGGTTTTTAAGACAATTGTGTATTTTATTTTTTTTAATGGGTTTTGATACGCATTCTTAAAAAATCAATTGCGTATTTTATAAAATTAATTGCGTAAATACGCACCTTATCTGTTGCTCTGTTATTACTAAATGTTAAGTTTACATCATTATCTTATTCATAAATATTACCATTACATTTTTTTTATCTTATTCCTAAATGTTAAATTTACATCATTATCTTATTCATAAATATTACCATTGCATAATCATCTTATTACTAAATGTTAAGTTTACACCATTATCTTATTCATAAATATTACCATTACATTTTTTTATCTTATTCCTAAATGTTCAGTTTACATCACCACACCGTATTACCAGCGGCAGTGATGGCAGATCACTGCAGTGATGGCAGATACCTGAAATTTACCGCTCGGTACAGGTAGGTTATAAATTTGGTTAGTATTATTATATTACACAAATACGGCCCATTTCATTGCTATGAAACTATTGTCCATTGACTGGAGATACTATTAGGTAATTTTGGATTCGTTTGTCGTGTTTTCAAACTATTTTGAGCAGGTTAAAAGTGACAGCTTCGGAAAAATCCGTGAAAATGTCTGTGTTTTGTTCAAAATATCTCAAGTTTTAACTAAATGGCAGGATTTCGTGTTATTAATATAGACGTTCATCTATTGGGGTCACGCACGCCAAATATCTACCCCGTGAGCCTTTTCGTTCAATCTGGTCCAGTCGAGGAAAAAATGCTGCTGTTGTAGGCAGATACTTATTTTAAATGCTGCAGTCGATGGCAGAAATACCATGAAAGTGGCTAACATTCTGACAGAAAATCAAGGTCAATCTTTTATCAATTTTTTTATTCTTTGCGTCCTTAGTCGGAATTGAGATTTCTAATATTTTCTCAAGATAGAAAAGTTATTAATGCGGGTATGTGCATCGAAAAAGCTTTTTAGCAACACGCAGTTACAAACAAAATGTGATGACTTAGTACGACCAAATTGCACTATAAATAGAGCAATTAACATGAAGAAATTCATTTTCTATATTCATGCATGTGTGCTTGATCTGTTGTGTCTGTCAGTTACTTGCATAAAATACCATATGTTTCTTAAGTTTAGCAGCGCATAACTCACTCCCTTTTCAAGACATAACACCATTTGCATATTACAGCTGTATCTTCAATAAGTGGATATTCATTTGCTAGCACATGACATTATTTTCTCGAGGTAATAATGTTCATCGCTTTATGACATATATAAAGGCTGAAATCGGCCAAAATAACCGAATAAAATCTTTGCAAACTGTAAACGAATTGAAGTATGGACTGAATTCCTTATAAACACTTATATTATGACACTTTCCGACTTTAATATTAATGTGTTTTATCATGATAACCTTGCTTTTTTGATGAGGGATCTCATATGAATTTATTTTCATTGAATTTTTCACACATAAACTTGGTCAGTAGAATTTTTCCGGACGTACATAATGCATAGAAAGTCAGGCACCTAAGCCCCGCCCCGCCCAAGTAGTTTAACTGATATTTTTCTTGTGTGTCCAGGTGAGTGAGAAAAAAAATCAATAATTGGGTTAGATAGAGGATAGGGAAATTCCAACCCTCGGGCAATCGGTTCCATCGGGAACTCGTCAAGGCTCATTCCCGATGGAACCGATCACCCTCGGGTTGGGATTTCCCTATCCTCTATCTAACCCAATGATCCACTTACCAAAGTTACAGCTGTAATATGCAAATGGCATTATGTCTTGAAAAGGGTATGAATTATGCGATGTTAAAATTAAGATACATATGGTTTTGTATACAAGTAACTGAGAGACACAACAGATCAAGCACACATGCATGAATATAGAAAAATGAATTTCTTCATGTTACTTGCTCTATTTATAGTGCAATTTGGTAGTACTGAATCATCACATTTTGTATTGTAACTGCGTGTTGCTAAAAAGCTTTTTCGATGCACATACCTGCATTAATAACTTTTCTATCTTGAGAAAATATGAGAAATGATAGTTTAACGTCTCAATTCCAACTAAAAAGACGCAAAGAATAGAGGAATTGATAAAAGATTGACCTTGATTTTCTGTCAGAATGTTAGCCACTTTCATGGTATTTCTGCCATCGACGGCAGCATTTAAAATAAGTATCTGCCTACAACGGCAGCATTTTTTCTTCGACCGGACCAGATTGAACGTCTGTAAAACTTTCAAGAAAAGACTCACTTGAGATATTTTGAACAAAACACAGACATTTTCACGGATTTTTCCGAAGCTGTCACTTTTGACCTGCTCAAAATAGTTTGAAAACACGACAAACGAATCCAAAATTACCTAATAGTATCTCCAGTCAATGGACAAAAGTTTCATAGCAATGAAATGGGCTGTATTTGTGTAATATAATAATACCAACCAAATTTATAACCTACCTGTACCGAGCGGTAAATTTCAGGTATCTGCCATCACTGCAGTGATCTGCCATCACTGCCGCCGGTAATATGGTGTGATCACTGCTTATTCATAAAGGAATCCATTACATTGTGCAGTGTGTAATTCAGAGAAAACAGTAATACTATCCAGGGCCTTTTTACCTTCTATAACAGGGGCCGGTATAGGGCTGCTTCCCCAAAGAAAATTTCTTTAAAATCATGCAGTTTTCCCCAAAAATTGAATTTACATTAAGTTTTTTCTTCCCCTTTTGCAAATATACCATGTAATTTTTCCCCAAAATTAAGGGCTGGGCTGCTTCCCCAAACTGTGAAAAAAAGCCCTGCTATCAGTTTCGATAGTTATTTTTCAACTTACTCCAGTTATGTTTGTAGACAGGCAAAGTTTCTTTATTCTAGGAACAATGGAAGTTTTCAGGGATGTGTAGTCGATCAGCTCAGCAAAGGTTGGTATGATGTTTAGGCACAGTTCCTGAAATAAATATATCTTAAAAGGTTAAAGACTTTAATGAATCAGGGCAATACAAAACATGGAAATTAAAGGCCTGTTCATTCAAAAAAAAATTGCTATTGCATTTCAAAGGCACATGTTCTTGCTCATTTCCTGTGTCCAAATGGAGGCTAATTATTTCATTAGATCAAATTAGTGTCATCATAGGAAAAGCAGGGATTTGGGGGCACATATGAAGCAGAATAAGCAATGGAATGTCAATGATAAACAAAAGTTTGTACCTGTTTATTCATTGCTAACAATTAGGCATGCTAGTTACAGTAACTTCCTGTCAATTTTTACGTACCAGTAAAGCATATTTGTTCTGCATTTAGATTTTTCACTCCTGCTACAGAGGGCCAAAAAAACCCCCAAACAAACTTACTGACTTTAAAACTGAGCCAACATTTTTGGTTATAAGTACACTTATAGTGATTAAGTATTTTGTATGGACATCAAAATACCATTTTGATTACATTATGCTACCTTTATGACAAGTCATTTCATATTCAGTGCTGCTTTAATCGGGCAATAAGCATCTTACCTACTCTTAATCCAATATTGTACATCATTATATAAACAAATGATTGCCATTTCTACATATGGAATAACATATTCATTCCTGAGCCTTTAAACTAGGTTAGAATGAGTCTGTAATCATACTTATCATTCTAAAAACATATATTTTCTTTCTGGTTAGATAAATAAACAAATCATTAAGATGTAAAACACAGACGAAAATTCCCTAGATTGCATACACAGAAGGGGAAGTAACTAGCACTAAAACTCTCTAAAACCTTTATTTATGTTATATATAAACTACTATAACTTTAGTGTATGAAATGGTAGACAAGAATGCATGGAAAAAGGATTTGTTTCCATAAAACTTAGTAAGTGTACTTTCTTTACTTGTATTAGACAGGTGGTTTGAAACATGGTTGAAAATTTTTCTTATAAAAATTAACCTTTTTTATTTTAAATTGGGTTTTAAGTCAAACTATGAATGCCTGATATAGCAACTTTCCAGCTTTATTGTTGGAGGGAGAACTTAGGTCCTCAATGCATTATATCAAGCACACATAAGCAAATGAATAGATTCCCCCACCTGCCTGAAACCTGCCTGATAGCTTCCACAAATTGAGAATCCAAAGTTCCTTGCTAAATTTAAAACAACAACAACAGAGGAAATGTATAAAGTGAATAGAAGTCATAATGACCCAGTAACTGTGACCTCCTCATCCCCTCAATTAATGTCTAGGTGACATTGACCCACTTATCTAAAAATCAGTCATCTATGGGCCATAGGCAGTGTCCCTTCAAAGTTGAACAAACCTAGGCTTATACCCTATCTATTATGGTTGTGCAGACAAACTGACAAACCACCCTATTACAGTATGCCTCCCACCTTTAAAGTGGGGATGGGGTGAAATCTGTATAATCTCAAAAAGACAAAAGTATAATCAAATATGGGTAAATATATTAGATTTTTTCTAATAAATCATTTTTTCATATAATTCAGATATCTAGGAATAAGTATAAAGCATAAGTTGATTTTCTATATAGCACATCTGTAACTGCTTAGTAAATAAATAAAGAAAGAAAGAAAAGGATTGAAAAAACTAATATCAACCATCTGTAAATGGCACACATTGTTTTTTTCTATGTCAATTTTAGAGCTTTAGGCCTTAATCTTTTAAAATGATTTATGACCACAAACAAACACACCTTTGGTCTGTTTGGTTTCATGTCGCACAAACACAGAAGGGGTTATATTGCAACTTTCCAGCTTTACTGGTGAAGGAATACCCCAGAAGCCCTTCAATGCATTATTTCAGGCGGCAAAAAGCACCTTAGTAGAACCACCAATGTTCCAAAAGCTAGCTGGATAGCTTCTTCACATGACAGCATCCAAAGTCCTTAGTGAGATTCAAACCACAGTGATAAGGGGCAAGCAGTTTGAAACCACTCTGCCATGGATGCCCCCGTAAACACATGATATATGACAAGATGGTGTGTAGCATTTGCAGGCAAACCAATGACCATACTTATGTTTCTAATAGTTAGTCCTTAATGTCAAACATTCTACTTCAAACAATGCATTGATTAACAACAAAAAAGTGCATTTTTTAAAGCATCAATAAGAATGTTAGGTTGTTAGATAGATAACAAGCATAAAGCAAACAAACATTGCTGTTAATATACATATTATATATGGCTACCTGGATGAAGAGAAAATCTGCCTACAAGAGAAATATTATATCCATTTACCAAAACTTGATGATTGGTCTTAATATATTAGGTTTTTCTTTTACCCTTACAATGCTTAATATCTAAAATGCATCCAATGCTAAGCATCACATGTTTCAACTTTAAAGCTTAACAAAACAACACATGCTTTGCCCTTTGACACTTTGCTTTTAAAGCTAAATTTAGTGCAAATATGGTTCACCTCTAACCCTTTGGTTCTGAATTTCTATTCAAATAAAGCACCCACCATATGCTTAACCAAAGCTATACAGGTGATTTTTAACCATTGACCCTATGATGTTAAAGCTATACAGGTGATGTTTAAACATTGACTTGTCTTCAAAGCTCTACAGGTGATGTTGAACCATTGACCTTATGATGTTAAAGCTAAACAAGAGCCGGTTGAACCGGGTGATGCTCCCTGACTAGGATTTGGACACAGAAAAGTATATCTTTTGTAGTTTCAGAGTTATGTCCCAGACAAAGTTCAAAATGTGATAATTCCAAACTTAGGCAATGCAGAGTTACTGTTCCTTGCACTGCACTTCTACTCAATTAGATCTGTCTACCAACTTGCGGGCGAAATGTCGTCTCAATATGTTGATTATTTCTGTGAAAAAGTTGTAAAATCCGACTTCAAATAACGAAGTTATGGGCCAGTCACAATTTTGCTGCAAGGTCATGCTGTGACCTTGACCTTCAAGGTAGCGACCCAAATGTTGCGCGGGACAAATTGTCTCAATATGGTTATCATTTCTGTAAAATATTTGTAAAATCCGACCAAATAACAAAGTTATGGGCCGGACACGATTTTGCTTCAAGTTCATGCTGTGACCTTGACCTTCAAGGTAGCAGCCCAAATGTTGCACAGGACACATTGTCTTAATATTATTATCATTTCTGTGAAATAGTTATAAAATCCGACTTCAAATAACGAAGTTATGGGCCGGACACAATTTTGCTGCAAGGTCATGCTGTGACCTTGGCTTTCAAGGTAGCGACCCAAATGTTGTGCGCTACACGTCGTCTCAATATGTTGATCATTTCTGTGAAATAGTTGTACAATCCAACTTCAAATAACAAAGTTATGGGCCGGACACGATTTTTCTTCAAGGTCATGTTGTAACCTTGACCTTCAAGGTCATGTTGTGACCTTGACCTTAAAGGAAGCAACCAAATGTTACCCGCGACACATCCTCTCAATATGGTGATCATTTCTGTGAAATAGTTGTAAAATCCGACTTCAAATAACGAAGTTATGGGCCGGACACGATTTTGCTTCAAGGTCATGTTGTGACCTTGACCTTCAAGGTAGCGACCCTAATGTTGTGCTCAACAAGTCGTCTCAATATGGTGATCATTTCGGTGAATCAGTTTTAAAATCCGACTTCAAATAACAAAGTTATGGGCTGGACACGAATTCTGGACATACGTACGTACGGACGTACGGATGGATGGACGGACAACCCGGCCAATATATGCTCCCCTGAAATTTTTCGGGGAGCATAACAAAGCACCTCATGATTCACTTTTGACTCAAAAATTTCAATCATGCACCAATAGCTTCACCTTAAAGCCAATATACAGCACAATAGGATTAACCTTTATCAATTTTCAACCTTAAAGCTAAAACAATAATGGTTATACAATATACACATCACACATATATAAGAAATTTCCATTCCTTAAATATATAAATCAGATATTTCCATGTTATTTTTAACATAATTATTACTCGAAACTTCCTTTTTTACATATATAATGAGAAATTTCCATTTTTTTTACAAAAACAAAAACAAGAAATTTCATTTTTTCTTCTTTTCATGTACATAAAATGAGAAATTGCCTCCTCCTTAAACATAAACAAGAAATTTTAATTTTCCTCCTTCCCCCATAAATAAACAAGAAATTTCTATTTATTTTCCGCATATTAACAAGAAATGTTCATTTTTTTTTACATACATAAACCGGAAAATTCCAATTTTTACCATATACACATATCTATGAGAAATTACTATTATTCAACCATTCAGATTATTAGTTATAAAGATTTTTTGACAGGTTATTTGGCCCTATATAAATGGTTATTTGGAAATATAACCTGAGCTGCTAGGCGAGGATTACACAGCAAACAACTGTTTATATACGGTCATATGACATGTTAGGAATGGTTATTATGAACTAACAATAAGAAAACTTCCTTTTTTGATAAAAGTTAGATTTCTTCATAATTTGACAGCAGACGTGTATATAAAACTACATAAACAGCACAATTATCCAATGAAAAGCGACGTTACAAACATGCAGTATTACCTGTATCTGAGGATTATCCGACTCTAAGGCCTTGTATATCATAGGTAAGACATGTGTCTTAATGTCATTAGCTGGTGTTTTCTTCAGTAGAAGGTTCATATTCTGCATGAAGATCAGCAGTATCTGTAGAACAAGAAAATAAACCACGAATACAAAAACTGAATATAGCATATGTGCTGTTAAAGGGACTCCACTGAGGTTTAAAAGGCTAATAACATAACATTTGAATTTTTAACATAAATGAGATGGGGCACTTTAAACAGAAATATTTGCAAAGATAGTAAAGAAATACACTTTGAAATAAATTGAAAAATGTATTTTTATGCTTTTCTTAGCCCGATTTTGAGTCATTTATTTACAATTTGAATACTTATTCCTGAAAAACGAAGTGCACGAATGATCTGCAATTTTGCACAAATATTAGTGGTCTAAACCTACATCAAATGGTACATTTATCTGGAAAAAAAATTTTCAGTCCCATCATGTCAAAAAACCTCAGTGGAGTCCCTTTAATTAAACAACATATATTTTTACTTAATGAGTTAAGTCTTGTTATATTTTTCTGGTCCTTCGGGATCACTTATTCCATCACTTTTAAGTGTTGAAAAATGAGTTCTGCTCAAGCTGGTGCTAGGGGCGTGAGGAATGTTGCATTTTTTTATTATCCCTCAAGTTAATTGACTTTTGAGTAATAAATCAATTGCAGACAATATAGATGAAAATAGTAACTAACAAACAGAGAATTATATCTAGCACTAGTGTAGAGTCTAGCAGTAGTACACGGGTTTAGCTTAGGTATGGAAATGAGTAATTCAGTGTATTAAACAATAGAATAGTATCTGTAACTATTAACTTAGATATTTTTAACATTAGTTTATGTCCCTTAAATTGTCCCTCAGAAAATGAATGTGGAGGACACTGGTGTCCCCCTTGAAAATCTTATCACATGTAGTAAGGCACAACATTGGTAGGGGGGACACTGGTGTCCCCTTGAGAATCTTATCAAGGCACAACACAGTTTAAGAGAAAAGATAAACTTTTTATAACCTGTATTGGTGATGTAATTTTGAACATAGGGATGAGTTCAGGTAGTATGAGAGTGGTGTACTCTTTATCTGAAGCTTGTTCCGCTATCTGCAGTATATTAGGTAGCACAAATGGTATCATATCCGGGTTTACACACTCCTTAACTAACGGCGGCAGAATTCTTTGAAGATTCACTCTCTGAAACAAAGGTAAATGAAATATAACAAATATTTTAACTAATGTACATTCTTTACAAAGTTACCCATGTAGGAAATATGAAAATACTTGTATTACACATCTGCATGCAGGCTGTTTTCATTTATTGTAAATCCTGTAGATCCTGTAACTAAATTTTTTTTATGGTTTTATATCATAAATATTATGCTCAAATGAAGACTTTTCAATATTATAAGTTCCAAAAAGCATTATTTGTAAAGACATTACCAAATTTTCATTTCATGTAAATAAAGGGAGATAATTAAAAAAAAATTTCTATAAAGTCTAAGCCAATTTTTTTCAATAATGCTAAATTGTAAAATGGCCATTTTCTGTGCTTTATATGAAGAAGGAAAGTCAGCTGATGCCCCTATTCTGTATTATTTCAGGCACAGACTGGTACCTGCAGGACAAATGACTTTCCGTTAAACCACCGGATAGTTTCATGTTATTAATAGTGAACTTTAATATTCCTAGCAAAATTTCAACCAACAACAGTCTTGGAGCAAGTGATCTGAAGTCAGCAGTCTTTATCACTTGATTATGGAGGCCCATATTCAATATGTATCATCACCTTCTAAAAATAAAAACTTTTAAAGAAATGTGAGAAGCCAAACAATATGTATCCTTAAATTCCTGAAGACAACACCTGTTCCTGAAAATCAAAATCCTTATCAACACTCCCAAGTTTACGCAAATCTTGCCTCGAGGTTTGAAAACTTTTTTCGACGCTCTGTCTTGAATGTCAGTATTTTCATTGGTTAACATCAATTCTGTGTCAGGCATTGTCCAATCATATACCTAAGATCTGAGTTTGAACTTACACATTTTTATTTCAACCCTAAAACCTTAACAGACTTGATACTGTTTGTTGCTCAATTATATTAAATAATCAATCATACCTTTGGGAATTTCACAACAATCTTTGGTAGTCCCTTGAAGAATTTTGATTTCTGTAGATTGTCTTGTTGAAACAGGGAATCCATATATTGCAATGTCATAGAGCCCACATCATCAAAGAAGCTAATCTATAGTTCAAAGAAGAAAAAAACAATTATAATCTCTTTAAAGTTAAACACTTCCAGATAAATGCAAAAAAGTCTTGGAAAGGAATGTAAAGGAACTCTACAGAGGTAAAAAAGCCTCAAAATATAAAATTTGAAATTCGTACATAGATCAAGTGAAGCATTTAAAAAAGGAAAAATCTAAAAAGGATTATAAAGCAATAAGCTAAAAATTAAATTGAAAGTTGTTGGAAAGATTAATTTCTTTCACAGATCAAATTATGACATAACATTAAAAAGCGATTTTTGTGCTGTTTTCAGCATGATCTGAGTTAAAAGCCATCAACGTTTATGGTTTTTTGGCCATTTCTTACAATTAAAATGATTATTCAGGTAAAATGGAGAGAGTTAATGATCTGAAATTAATAAAATTAGTCATTGGTCTAGACCTATATCAAATGGTACACAAATATCGAAAAAGTATTTCTAGTCCCGTCATGTAAAGAAACCTCAGTGGAGTCCCTTTAAATATTTCTGATTATTGTAACTGTTAAGTTTTATAATTAACAAATTACTTTGGCAAGTTGATATGGATCATTTAGTTATATAATTAATAAATTACTTTGGCAAGTTGATATGGATCTTTAGTTATATAATTAATAAATTACTTTGGCAAGTTGATATGGATCATTTAGTTATATAATTAATAAATTACTTTGGCAAGTTGATATGGATCATTTAGTTATATAATTAATAAATTACTTTGGCAAGTTGATATGGATCATTTAGTTATATAATTAATAAATTACTTTGGCAAGTTGATATGGATCATTTAGTTATATAATTAATAAATTACTTTGGCAAGTTGATATGGATCTTTAGTTATATAATTAATAAATTACTTTGGCAAGTTGATCTGGATCATTTAGTTATATAATCAATAAATTACTTTGGCAAGTTGATATGGATCATTTAGTTATATAATTAATAAATTACTTTGGCAAGTTGATCTGGATCATTTAGTTATATAATTAATAAATTACTTTAGCAAGTTGATCTGGATCCGGTCTAACTGTAGGCTCTGTGTTAAATAGAAGCTTGACAATATCTCGTAGATCTGACGGGATCTTTCCCATTAGAGTTCCCCTCCATTTTCTCAACTGAAAAAGAGAACTATATATGAGACATTTTTTCCGTTCTATGTAGTAATATAAATATCAGGTTACATTTTATTTAATGAGAAAAAAACTATTTGACATCACACCAACACAGTACAAGCCATATGACAATTTCCCAGCTTTAATGGTGGAGGAAGACCTCAGGTACCACTCCATGATTTATTTTTTAAAATTCCTGCTTACCTCTTCTGCATTTTTCTTGAATGAACTCCACTGGCTTCTACACTCGTACAAAGGTTTACCGTTGTTAAACATTGTATAAATCAGCATACCAATAGAGAACATGTCACATGCCAGGCTACACGACTCTGATATCGCATTCTCTGGAGCCATATAGTCTAAATTAGGCTGAGCACATGGTGCAACATCCGGATCCCAATCCTTATATGGAAATAACAGCTGAAAGTACAAATATATTTCATTCATATTTAGATTGGATATAACTCATTGTCACATTGAAAGTGTAACGGATATGTGGATACTTCTTAATCTTTCAATGATGATTTCTTTCTTTGTTAGGATTTAAAGTCACACCAATACAGTTATATTTGTAAGGTCATATGGCCACTTTAAAGCTTTTAATTTAACTGGTGGAGTAAAGACCTTAGGTGCCCCTCCATGCATCATTTTAGGAACAAGCAAGCATCTGAGCAGAACCAATTATCTTCCATAAACAAACAGGAAAACTTCTCCACATAAAAGAATCCAAAATCCCAGACAGGATTTGAACCCACAATTGTGAGCAGCAAGTGATTTGAACTTGGCAACCTTGAGCAATTGGTCATAGAGGTCCCTCTTTAAATGGCCTTAAAAGACTGCATTGATATTCTAATGTTTATCTTATTCTTTCCTTTTTATAATACTGTAAGTTAGTAACGTCACTCTTCATTGGATAATCAAGACGTTTATATAACCCATATACAAGGCAGCTATCAATTTATAATGTGATTTTAGTTATACTTCAAATAAAGTAATTCTCCTGTATCATAAATTTGTTAAATAGATGCCTGACAAGTTATATCGCCATGTAAAACTGTTGTTTGCAATATATCCCTTATCTAGGTACGATATAATATACTATAAGTTATAAAGATTTGACTTGACTATTCTCTGTGCTTGACTGTAACCAAAAATATTCTAAATTCACAGAGGATATTAAATGAGGGTAAATTTAATACTAGGCAAGCATAATATATATCTATTCAACGAGTTCAATAAATTCAGTTTACATACACAAATTTAAAATTCTATTTACCACATACCAAAAATTAAGACCACTTGAAGTGAAAAAGAACCATTTTTCCTGAACACATCTATAGTGTAATGCTAACATTTAGCGTGTCTTACCGCTATGTTTATGAATGCAAATGACGACCATTCAATATCATTTTTATGGAGTTGCAAAAGTGGCAAGGGTATGTGATAAAGGGCAATAATTCAGCCAAAATCCATGTCTGGAGTTACATAAAAATGAAAATAACCTTGTTTTTTTTCATCAGGAAGTACTGACTTGTACTAATACTTTCTTTAGTCCATAACAAAAAGTATATATACAATAAATATCAAAACTTACTGCTTGATCAGGAGGATTTTTGTTAGGTATACAGAAGTCAAAGCCTGCAAGTTTCCATGATCCATTTTTGTTGACAATAATACTCTCTGGGCATATATTGTTATGTAACAATTTGGCATCTTGATGAAGGAACTGTACACCCTCTGTAACCTGAAAAATTTAAATAATTGAACATCTTAAAATTTCATTTATGAAATATTTAAAAATTGTTGAATGATGTTTTCTTTCTTCTTCATAATTTTTTTCTATTAGGCAAAAAACTATAAACAACAACATAACAAAATTTCACTCTAAAAATTAGGGTCAACTGTCGTATTTTTTTATTCTTTAAATCCAAATGATTATAAAAGACTGTTTCCTCATATGGCATGAATATTGCACTGATTTATCTATATGCATTATATCTACCACAACATGACACGATTTCCAATATGACTGGATGGTTAAATTCAGAGCTTAATTCTTTGAAAGTTAAATTTTTTGAAAAAGGTTGATGGGTTTTAAAGTTGTTATTTTCACCCAGTTTGCAAACCCGTTTTTACACAATTTAAAAGAGCCAGTTTTAGACCCCCATCATTCCCGGGAAGGCAGCCAAGCAATTTACCAGTACTAGTTGCCTTCACTTTTGGAGGCACATATAACTTCTATACATGCCAGAGCAGCCAGAGGTACAGTGCAAATGACCGTAGAAAGGATTTCACAACGAAAGTGACCAGCACCGTCTGGGCATTCAACCCCAGTTCTAATGCTTTACCTATTGAGCTAACTGCATGGATTGTGTCTTTTAAAACATTTTGTTGCCTGTTATAAACAAAATTTTATAGAAAAAAAGCAATGACAAATATTGCTAACTGATTGAAGAAAAATTGTTTGAAAATATATATAGCAAATTTTGTTACAAGTTATAAATAAAATTGTAAAAAAATAAAATATGACAACTCCATTACTTTAATTGAAAGAGAAAATTTACATTTCCAAAGTAATATTAAAACTAGAAATGTGTCCATAGGACACGGATGCCCCCACACGGCACTGTTCTGTCAATCTTAATACTTTAGGTCAAATATTTTTTTGGACTACATGTGCCACAAGTTGAAAACTAAAAATCAACAAAGGGCCATAATTCTGTTAAATTGATCGCAGCAAAAATTCCTTCCTTTACTACCATCTACACATGAAGGTTGTTCATCCCTGGAAGTTAAAGCAAAATCTGCCATCCGGTTTAAGAGGAGTTGCGTTCACACAATTTCAGCATAGTAAATAGTGAAAAAATCAACAAAGGGCCATAATTCTGTTAAATTTGGTCGCAGCAAAAATTCCTTCCTTTACTACCATCTACACATTAAGGTTGTTCATCCCTGGAAGTTTAAGCAAAATCTGCCATCCGGTTTAAGAGGAGTTGCGTTCACAAAATTTCTACATAGTATATAGTGAAAAAATAAACAAAGGGCCATAATTCTGTTAAATTTGGTCGCAGCAAAAATTCCTCCCTTTACTGCCATCTACACATTAAGGTTGTTCATCCCTGTAAGTTTAAGCAAAATCTGCCATCCGGTTTAAGAGGAGTTGCGTTCACAAAATTTCTACATAGTATATAGTGAAAAAATCAACAAAGGGCCATAATTCTGTTAAATTTGGTCGCAGCAAAAATTCCTCCCTTTACTACCATCTACACATTAAGGTTGTTCATCCCTGTAAGTTTAAGCAAAATCTGCCATCCGGTTTAAGAGGAGTTGCGTTTACAAAATTTCTACATAGTATAAAGTGAAAAAATCAACAAAGGGCCATAATTCTGTTAAATTTGGTCGAGGCAAAAATTCCTCCCTTTACTACCATCTACACATTAAGGTTTATCATCCCTGGAAGTTTAAGCAAAATCTGCCATCCGGTTTAAGAGAAGTTGCGTTCACAAAATTTCTACATAGTACATAGTGAAAAAATCAACAAAGGGCCATAATTCTGTTAAATTTGGTCGCAGCATAAATTCCTTCCTTTACTACCATCTACACATTAAGGTTGTTCATCCCTGTAAGTTTAAGCAAAATCTGCCATACGGTTTAAGAGGAGTTGCGTTCACAAGATTTCGGGACGTACGGACTGACAGACGGACGGACGGACACTCGGACGGACAAGTGCAACGCTATATGCTCCCACTCTGTGGGGGCATAACAACAATGAGTAAATGTTAAATGTCAATACCTGAAGAAGTCCATACTTTATCTCTACATCATACAGTTGATGTTCTTTAAGTTGCTTAGCAACCGGTTCTGGAATGTTATCATGGCTACCAAGCACATTAGCTAGGCTGCCTAGCACCGGTTCTGTGGCAAATGCTAAACACTCTCTGTAACAAATTCATCAACTTTTTCTACATGTATAAAAATAATTATAGTTAAATTCATGATCAATTACATATGTCATTAATTCAGTGCAAAGTATATTGACCACATATCACATGGAATTTTAAGGAAAAATATTGATGATACAACAATATATATCATACTAAAGTACTTAAAATTACTAGCTGTAATTCACCATCTTAGCTGAGTAATTGATTTCAGAAAAATATAAGTTCTGTTCATACAAATGAATACCATAATAGATACCAATTGTTTGAATTTTTTTCTTGACCATTTTTTGCCATCACTGCCATGAAATATATCAATTATGTATCAACAGCATACACTATTGTTATAACTGTGTCATAATAATAAATATGGACACCTGCTGTTGTTTAAGTTTTTGGTGACATTTAATTAAAAAGTCAAAATTATTGAGTTTTTTTCAAACGTAAATCGATTATTGATCAACAAAAATATTGATGATACATAAATATTGTCTCTTATCAATCCAATTATTAAGTAACTGTAGTCAATACCTAAATAATGTTTAACAAATGAACAATACATTATGTTTTTGTACTTTTATTTAAAGACACAGTGACACTATTAAGGTCAAATGGCGACCTTTCCGTTTTTCTGGTGAAGGAAGTTCTCAGGTGCTCATTTATTCATCTAATTCAGGCAAAAATTGGAAATGTGTAAAATCACCAACAAACTGTTAGCCAGACACTTTACAAATGCCCCTAATTCCCTCGTATGGTACATGTAACCTGATTGTACAAGTTTGAATTTGTTATAGCTTATTTTGCCAATTAAAGCATAAATTTAATTCTTTAATAAGTTTACCTGGACTCTTCCAGTGGTTGCATAACAGATAATATTTTTGGATGTCTAAGCCGTGTAAGTTGAGACGCCCCTCGACGCAAGGCATCCAATATCAGTTCCTTATCTCTACGCGAATATTTCTCTATACTTTTCTTTTCGAACAGAAATATTGCGGCATCCTGAAATAAAATAAAAATGATGGCTGCACTTTCATGATTAGCAAATTGAAATATTTATTGAATCCCATTTGTTTTATAAAGTAACTTCACCCAACAGAGGGCATGCTATCCTTGAGCCCAAAACAAATTTTTTTTGTTCTAATTGTAGTTAAATTCTATTTGAGTTGACATTGTTAAAAAATATGAATTCATCATCATATCATGGTCCCAAATACTTTCATGAATCTTTTTCCTTCTATAATTATAAGTGATACACTTTTGCCACATTTATAGTGCCAGATCAGTCTACACTGTACCCACGTTTCTGGCCGAGGTCTTATGGTTGATCTCGATTTCCACACAAATGATAATGGACAGTTCCAAAATATAGTTTTAAAAGAAGAAGCTTGATAAGTTCATTTAAGAAATTCAGTAGTTCACGAATTAAAATATATACCTGTTTTGTAGTTCTTTTCATGCCACTGTATATTTTCCATAGCAGGCCTGGTCCAGCTGTACCAATTTGTCCATACACTTCGAAGTCCTTAGACAATGGGTTACCAGGAAGTGCACTCGATACAGCACTTTTCAGCTTATTGAACATATCCATTTCTGGTATTTACCAGACTGTAAGTAAGAAAATATCATCTCATTTCACTTTAGGCCTTTATAGCTGGATATACTATTCTCCGGTCCGGTAGCCTCCAGTCTATTTTGACCGGATTTACTAGAGACCAGCGAATAGTACATTGTATCATATTTACTGGCCCCGTCAGTGCCAGTCATTCAATAATTATTTGTAACAAGAGCTGTCGGTAGGACAGCAACGCTCGACTATTCTTAGTGCTTGATAGTAAAAAAAAATGCTTGATAGAGTTACCTCCTCCTGTTGACAGGTTGGGGTCATGATGGTGAACAAGTGTGCAAAGTTTCAAAGCCATATGTCAATGGACTTTGAAAATATTTGAACTATTACAAAAACTTTAACGTAAATTCTAAGTCGAAAAAGGGGCATAATTCTGTCAAAATGCTTGATAGAGTTACCTCCTCCTGTTTACAGGTTGGGGTCATGATGTTGAACAAGTGTGCAAAGTTTCAAAGCCATATGTCAATGGACTTTGAAAATATTTGAACTATTACAAAAACTTTAACGTAAATTCTAAGTCGAAAAGGGGCATAATTCTGTCAAAATGCTTGATAGAGTTACCTCCTCCTGTTTACAGGTTGGGGTCATGATGTTGAACAAGTGTGTGCAAAGTTTCAAAAGCCATATGTCAATGGACTTTGAAAATATTTGAACTATTACAAAAACTTTAACGTAAATTCTAAGACGAAAAAGGGGCATAATTCTGTCAAAATGCTTGATAGAGTTACCTCCTCCTGTTGACAGGTTGGGGTCATGATGGTGAACAAGTGTGCAAAGTTTCAAAGCCATATGTCAATGGACTTTGAAAATATTTGAACTATTACAAAAACTTTAACGTAAATTCTAAGTCGAAAAAGGGGCATAATTCTGTCAAAATGCTTGATAGAGTTACCTCCTCCTGTCTACAGGTTGGGGTCATGATGGTGAACAAGTGTGCAAAGTTTCAAAGCCATATGTCGATGGACTTTGAAAATATTTGAACTATTACAAAAACTTTAACAGAAGTGGTTACGCCGACGCCGACGCTCGGGTGACTGCAATAGCTCTACTTATTCTTATCGAATAGTCGAGCTAAAAATGGGTCGATTTCTCTAGATGAAAAAGGTAGTTCATATAAGATATATTAGTTTTTCGTATATAATGTATTTTGTTTCCAATTAATTGTTTTTATATTGCTTTTTTTTTTGCTTGTTTTTATTTATCAAAGATATAAATGTAAAAGCATATTAATTAAAACGTTCATGATATAAAATTGTATGGTACTGAACCACCCTTAGTAACCTTTTTCATTTATTGTGATTTTTAACTTTTTTTAAGTAAAAACATAATTTGAAAAGTGTATGATTTTAATGTTTCTGTTTTTGTTGTTGTATTGCATTGTATTGTTTTGTAATTATCTATTTCACTACATGAATAATAAATAACCATTAGCATGTTATGTGTCAATTTTCTTTACATTTTGGAAATAATAAAATACATGTATAATGTTATATTATAATTGTTATTCTTTATTGTCATAAATGTAATAGTGTGATTATCAATAGCAACAGCATTACACAAATGGATTATAAATTATAATCCAGTCTGTAATTATGATTACAATTTGATTGATATTGATTACTTTCAGATTTTACATGAAACTATTGAAATTCAAATGATTTATTTCACATGTTACAGTTTAACTAAGGTAGTAAAATATCAAGTGAGACATTTTAAGACATCACTCACAATGAAGAAATAAGTTTTAATCCATACAGTTAACCAAATTCTAACTGAAAGATAGACATCATTGTTTGGCTGGTATTCTAATCAAAATGTCAAATCATTGGATTTATGATGTCTTTGAATTTCCTAAAGAAACATCTGGAAATGTGACAGCACAGTGCAAATTGTGCCCTAAGAAGATAAATGGAAACACTAAGTCACATTCAAATTTCATTACCCACATAAAGGTATGTTAAATTTTGTTTCACATATTTTGGTTAAACCATGTTTTAAAAAGTTTCAAACAATGTAGATAACTTCTTTACTTTGTATATTCTAGAGTTTATGTCAGATGCATATTACATGTACCATATCTTAATTATATGCAACAGTTATTTTGTAAGCTGATAGACAATGTGTCTATATTATAATGGATACTGTTGTACCATTGAAGTGTTTGTAAAAAAACTGATAATTTCTTTGTAAAGTCTATTGTCTCTTTGAATTCCCATATAAAAATTTATTGTTTTCACACCTGTTTTAACACCTGCATACAGTATACTGTACAATTGACACTTTTAAAAATTTCTGTTGCAGAGAGCTCATTATGAAACCTACACCAAGAAGACTGAGGACCATCCCTGCATCATTGGCCCCTGTAGAGCGTTTGTTTAGTGTTGCAGGTAAAATTTTCCGTCCTGTTAGATGCAGTCTGACTGATAGACGGTTTCATGAACTTATGATGCTAAAGTGCAATGCTAAAATATGATAAAGTGATGTGACAGGAACTAAAAGTGTGTTAAAATGATGACTGTTGATGAGCTGGAAATCCTTTGTGTATATAATGTATATAAAGTATTTATCACACACCCGTGCCGATTTTGCGACTCCGTAAATATGGTATTGCACGGCCGTGCATATATTTTGACGTGACGTCATTAGCGTTACACAAACATATTGTAAAGACGCGCTAAATGTTAGCGTTATACTATAGGCGCGTCAATGGAAAATGATTATTATTTCACTTTAAATGGTCTTTTTTTGGGCATGTGATAAATAGAATATTAAATTCGTGTAAGACCATTACTGAATTTATTGCACTCGTTGAATAAAATAATATTATGCTCGCCAGAGGCTCGCATAATATAATTTTATTCAACTCGTGCAATAAATTCAGTATTGAACTTACACTCATTCTATATCCTCTATATATTAAATAGCATTAAGAAACTTTGTTTATAGTTATACATGGAATGTAATCAATTATCAATCAATTACTTTCTCAAAGTAATTGTAATTTAATTGATTACAGAGGCAAGTCTTAGTAATCAATTGTAATCAATTACAGTAAAATCTGAAAGTAATTGTAATTAAATCAATTACTGATCAATGTAATCATCCCCAGGTCTGATTATAATATAATTGTATATATCTGTTGCTAATAACACCCCATAAAAGCATAGTCTGTCCAATTACCCCTATTCTCATAAACAATCAAAATGGTTGACTTGATTACTTATCCCACGAGGATGATCTCATCATCTTAGAAACAGCACTATTAGACACATTACACAAAACAGAGCTCATAAGATTGAAAAATTTATATCAAAATGTTAAAAATCCGAAGTCCCTCCAAAAAGGTTCTGAAATATGTGATAAAACCTATTTAGGTTATTATCAAAACATTTACACAATTTTCATTCAATACTAAGTTTACCTATTAGGTCATGTTCATCATCATGTGAAAGAAGCTTTAGTGCACTCCGAAGACTGAAAACTTGCACTAAATCAGCTACATGTATGGTCCTTGGAGGCTGCTACATTAAATGGTTTTGCTTTGATACATATTCATAAACAAATGTGACATGTCATTTGACTACATTGAATAAAAAGCTTGCCTTAAAGTGCTCCAAAACACACAACAGATGTTCTAGGTAAAAAGAATTTTCCAGATGAGCATGCACCCGAACTACCCTAATTTGCCTTCATCAAAAAACAGGTCTGGCTACATCAAGATTGATATATTTTGGTATTTTGTGCTGCCCACCATTGTCTATAGTATATCCCTCAACAACCATAATTCGAACAAGTAAGCTTGTTTGGCCAATAATTAATGTCATGGAAAATAATATTTGAAGTTTATTTTTCTATCTATCTATCTATTTATAGTAAATTATACTGCAACACCTTCTTTCAAGTATTATGTGCAGGTGCGTGTCTATGCGAGAGTTTAAAAGAAGAAATGTAAAGGAGAATAAAAGTAATACTGTACATGTATTTGTGAGAGTTGAAATAAGAAGTTGATAGTGTTAGTTAAAAAGAGAAAGCATACAGCTAAAACAGATAATAACAATATTTTCATTTCAAACATGGTTGGGAAGAGAGGTAACTCCCTGTTTAAACTGGTTGAGCTGCACAAGTTCAGATGGCGGTGAGTTCCAGAGGTCTACAGTTTCCAAAAAAAATAACATTTGTAGTAATTACATGGAGTGGGAATCTGTCTGAAGGAAAGAGGGTGTGAGTGTCGGTGAGACAGAGGGAAGGCTGAACATAGGTGGGTATGGGCACTGCAAACAATCCATGCACAATCTTGTAAAACATTAGGAGTCTGGCATCAATTCTCCTATTTTCCCCGGAAGGCCTAACCTTACTTATCTGCATGCAAAATTATGCTACGGTGGCCTCATTTTTATGAAATATTTTGTTGCAAGGTGAGTGTGACATAAACTTCGCCATGAGTTGATAAAGGTAAAATAGAAAGTACGTTTAGCATATTTAAATCTGTTTAATTTGCACGAGAAACGTTTGGTATCCGAATATATTTCATCCGATTCTCAGACAAAAATTGAAAAACACCAAAATGATCTAAAATGGAAAATAAATGAATATTGTTTAGCGTATTCATAAAATAATTTATCTTAAATTTGTTTCATGCATTTGTTTTATTTAAAAGATCGTTAAATTTATAGATATTACCGATTTATTATTTTTACTCGACAAGTGTCAGAACCAGCTTTGGCTAAATTATTAACGACTAACTTTCCCAATGTCATCTTCTATTTAGATGGATGGAATCCAACAAATTGAACAAGATGATGCGTTACCATACACAGAGACATACATCTCTGCCATACAGTAGTGTTAACGTCACTGATCGAAAGTTGGACACGCTGTAGATTCGTCTGCGTGTAAAAACAAAATATACCTTCATCGCAGTATAATAAACAAGTCTACTCACTGTTATGAATAAGCCTTGCGAATGTCAGACAAAACCCCCTTCGGACAAAATCCCCTTCATGCATTTTTGTTTATCTTGTATATCTGGACATAATCCCCTTCATGTGTGAAATTTTGAAGTGGACAAAATCCCCTCAATAAAATTGCTACCTAGGACAAAATCCCCCTCAGATAAATTTTCTTATATGAGAGCAACATACTGCATTATGCTGTGTGGTGATTGCTAGTACTTAATTCTCAACATCAGTTCTATACTGCTAAGGCCTTGCTAGATGGACAGTGTTGCACAATTCATTTCTTCCTCACCATCTTTTAGAATTTATAGACGAGTTAAAATAGTGTTTTTGAAATTATAAGAATAGTTTTAATAAATAAAATGATGGCATTGATGATTTGACTTTTAAAACTTCAACAATAATGAAAAACACACTTTGTCTTATTATTCCACTTTAATTATATTTGTTATGCAGTTGATAATTTACCACAATTTTAAAGAACACTGCTAAACTAATTTAATTGTTTTTAATGATAATTTGGTTGACAATTGATCTGAACAAATAAAAAAATATGTCTTATCAAGCTTATTTAATTATAAAGGGTAACTTGATACATAAGTTCATTATTCATCAATTTTTATGGAGCATAATAATACATTATTCATCAATTTTTATGGGGCATAATAATGCATTTGAAGCCGATTTTGTCCGGGTAGGTAAGGGGATTTTGTCCAGTCTTGCAAAAACATGAAGGGGATTATGTCCATCCATGGAGGAGACTTTGTCCGGGTATGCGAACCCGGATTATGTCCGTACACCAAACCTAGCAACCACTAAAGGTACTGTACATGTACATATATATAGGCATTTGGTTTCGTGATATAAACCCTTTTGAAAGGTTTGTAGAACTCATTCAATTGAATGTAGCGATTTTTTAACGGAGTTAATTGTCTTTAGTCTAAACCCGTTAACTTCGAACGTTACTAGGTGTTTTTAGTAACATCGGAAAAATGAAGGTTTTAGAAAAGAGACATATATACTGTGCTCCTCTTAGTTCACGGTACTAACGCTTTGAAACAAGAAAGAAAACAACAAATGAAACTTTTGGTACAAAAATTGTCATACTATATATAAAATCGTTACATTCAATTATAAATTTGAGTTCTACATGTACGACCCTCTCAAATGGGATTTTTATCCCGAAACCAAGTGCCTATGGTATTGTACGTACTTTATAGTGATTGGATGTTTTACCTGCTTGTAATCGCCAGGTAGGGCGTACATCATGTACATTAAATCTTAAGCCCCGAAAAACAGGTTAGATTAAAATGATTTCGCGTGTCAGTACTGCGACACAACTAGTAAAACTCGATCTTGAAAGGAAGTGTATATATACTGAAACAAAGAAGAAACTTTCTCCAAGTTTGAATGTAGATATATGTTAGTACAGTTTTTCAATCCTTTTGAAACTCGATTTTTACGTTGAATAAACAAATCGGGCTTTTATACGGGGATTAGCTGACCGATTTTGCAAACAAAACGAGTTTTACAAGCTACTACATGTATACAAGTGTGTACATCTAAGTGGTACCCTTGAACACAGACACTTGGGGTATGGAGCTCAATACGCCTTTAAAATCCAAATAAAATGCATATTTGTCAATCCCAGCACATGTACTGATCATATATCAAAAAACTTAATATAAGCCGTTTTGAAAAAATTTTCACATTTCAACATCTATAATAATACATTATAGATGTTGAAATATGAAATTTTTTCAAAATGGCTTATATTAAGTTTTTTTGATATATATGATCAGTAAATGTGCTGGGATTGACAAATATGCATTTTATATGGATTTTAAAGGCGTTTTGAGCTCCAAACCTCAAGTGTCTGTGCCCTTGAACAACTGGCACATACTTTGCGAAACTTTCTTTTTTGGTTCAGTATATATATTTACATCCCTGATTCATGCGTTTTGAGAAAACTGTTATCACAGTAGATAAACAAATTCACTATAATCATATCAGCAACAACATATGTTAAATTGTTACTAGAATTAACGAGCTCGATATAAAAAATTCACAGAATTGATGATTAAACCTTGTGACTTGGAGAACCTATTTGCAATAAGCTAGCCTTGATGTCAGTCTACTGAGATGAAGACGACATTGTCATTTCAAATCGTCGCTGAAATTCTTGGACACTTACCATACTCGCCTATATACTATGTACATGTACTCTGCCATGCAGTCCCTAGAGGCAAATCTGTGAACACCGAATAATAATAATAATAATAACACAGATTAATGATAATAACAAAAATAACATTATCTACGGTAATAATTGTTACTAAAATAGCGACATCAACATCAAAATGTCACAGATGATCATGCCTTCTGACATGTATAACCTATTAACAATGAAATGTAGACGACCTTGCCAGTTTAACTTGTTGCTCAAACCATACTTACCAGCCCTCTCTCCATGGGTTTTTCGTGCTTCTTAAACCTAGCTAAGTGTTTTTTTTAAAAAATAGTGCAACGCTTCACATGCCTGTATTTAAATGAACTCGAAGATGCTGCACTCGATGCCATTTTGGCATTTCAATTAAGCGTTCTATGCTGACACATTCCATCAAAGGGTTCACAGGGCAAAGATGCAGACATATTATATAGAAATAACAATCAAAATATACAACTGACGTTGTCACGACCTGAGTTGGAATGTAAGCGCTGCGTTAGTTTATTATACAAATCAATAAATAAAAAAATAAATAAGTAAATAAATAAGTAAATAAATAAATAAATAATCAGACAACAAAAACTTTTGATCAATGTATTTTCGTGAAACTTGAGCAAACGATATATAAATGTTCGAATATTTCTTCCCTTGACTTGCAACATATGCATTTTTTGCAGACTAATAATTTTCAACTTTCAAATATTATGTATAGATCTTTTTTGCAGTGCGCAATTTTGTACATTTATATAAATTTGCTAACGCACGTACCAGATGCGTTTTTGCATAATGACAAGTTTCCTACGAATCATTATCAACTCTCGAATTTTATGCATTCAACGTACTTATATATAACCCCGGACCGAACACATTACAGACAAGTACGTGCGTTTAACCCAGCCAATAATATTTCTGAACAAGGAAGTAGTGTAATTCGTGTAATATGCATACTACATAAGACTTTTCATAAATTAAGATATCAAATTTTACCAATAATTGTATTCTTTTTTTCAAATGTTAAGGTTTATAACTTTATGACTATGAATTAGTTTATAATGTTTTTCTTCTAAAAAAAATAGAAACACTTGTGTGTATATATATATTGTTTAAAAGGATTTACTTCTAAATAATATGAAAAATTGGAATCCTACTTTCGATTTTAAGACTACGGAGCTCTTGTTTCGGTTTTGATTATGACATAATATTTTTTGACAAAACATTTAGACGTGATATTATAACAAATATAATTTAACGAAACGTGAAAAATAATTGAATTTAATAAAAAAATTATAAGTAACACATTATTTTGGCAACAAATATTTATATTTATGACATTCTAAGTATGTCTGTTGATATAAAATTTTCTGAGATATGCGGTGAAAATGTCAAAATTTCCGAAGACAAATCAACAGCCATTTGGATACCGAAGAATTCTAGTGGTTGGGCTTGTTGCGAGCAGATATTTAAACCAGGGGACGTTATACAGGTGAAAGTTCAAGGGAGTGGACGGTGCGACATAGGCTTTATGAAAGAAGAGCAAAGCCCATGTACTTTCAAAACATTAAATGAGATTAGGGCACATAGGAGAACGTGTCATATTGAAATGACTTCAAAAGACAGCGGTGATGAGGTAAATATACGCAGACAAAATGCATATAATGTAAAAATAATCCAACAAAAACGTAAAATTTATCTTAAGTCATGCCACTTTCGTTTTCAGATATACACTTCCGCTTCCGTTAAGATGTTATGTACAAGTCCTACATATGTTACGTATGCTTTAAAATTCCATGCCTCCAGATGAGTCAAAATATTTCAAGGATATTTTAAGAAATGTAAAACGATTCAAGATTCAAGTAATAATTTACATGTTTTTTGCTATTAATGACTTGTTTTGCAGTGTTTATCACCATATTTCTACTGCGTAATTAACGCAGTAAGGGCCATTTTTGCATATTTTGACATCTTTTCTGGTAATTTACATAGATAGTAAGTGCCGTATGCAATGTATATTACTTTCTTTGTTCATTTCACAATATTTTACTTTTAAATACATTTTTCAAAATTTTCATGAAAATTAGCATGACTCTGGAGGCATGCTGCTTTAAAAGATATACAGGGGTGGTTTGAATGGTTCGTAGAACAGAGCTTCTCAAAGGACAAAGAAAGATCAAGCCTACGAGAACCGTCTATTCTTAACATTCTATGAAAACGACCTGTATTTACAAAACATTTAAAATTGAGATCCTTCAGAAAATATAAAATACATTAAGTTAACGTTATAAAAGATATAACACAATTCTGTAAACGTTCTTGTCAACATGCACATAGCTTATGCTCATCATCAACAATAATTATAACTGCAGAATTTTTATAGAAGCCCGTTAATTATGATAATTCCATGTAGGTGTATATAAGAAGAATAAGTCGATTCTATATATGAAGCATTTATATATATTTTTTATTTCCAGATTTCATCAAGGTTCGCTGAAAAAACGTTCAAAAAGAAAGTTGAGACGAATGCAACATATTGGATAGCCGTGTATATACGATATGGTGATATGTCTGTCGAACTTTTAACAAAAGGTTGAGTTGTTTTTTTAAATTTCCGATAAATTATCTTATCTTTGTCAACTTTTATTTGAAAATAATTTGTTTGTCATTTGTAACATTAGTATTTTTGAACGGTGATCTTGATAAGGAAAAAATATAATATCAATGAAAGTTCATGTAAACATTGATAAATAAGGTTCATAAATATTTTATTAACTTTCGTTAATTCCGGACAGCTTTTACAATTTTCTGTTTAGATAGATGGAAAGGCTCCAATTAATTATATAGAAAAGCCGATCATATATTCTCCCGACTTTCATGTGAGAATAGGAGCAATTAAACTGGAAAGCTTACGTAATGACTGTGGCTCTATCCAGGTGCCCGTTCTTGTCTGAAATAATATACTGAAGGGCATCTGAGGTTTTCCTCCTCCAATAAAGCTCGACAACCACCATCTAACATAACTGTGTTGGTGCGACGAAACAACAACAACAACAAAAATAAAATAAACATTAAAAAGGCAACAAAACATAAACATGCCCAATAACGACACAGCCATTAATCACGTTATTAATAGAAATTTGGAAGGCAGATTAACAAAACAAAATTTGTCGTTAATTTATGTTAGAATCAAATTTGAAAGTGTTTATTAACATCAAACAATTCATATTATGACTTATGAATTATGTAATACAAGAAGCTCACCCTGTCTGAAAAGCCTGAATTTAATTGACGTGTATATACCTTGTATATATTCAAAAAATATAAACCTCCTGAAGAAATCTTGTAAAGCAAATGTAATGGGTTTTTTTGCTATATTTTCCAGAGCCTACGGTGAGTAACTTGAAGTTTTCTGCAAACACATATGGGAAAAACATAAAACTAGAAGACGACAACACAAAGGCATCATCTGTTCACAGGAATCCAGCCTCAATTTGCTTCCTTGCTGAACGTCTTCAAGTTAAAGAAGTTCTTAATCTGACATGTGCACCAGAGAAAGAAGGGGAACGGTTACCTAGCCGATATGATTTTAAACTACAGGTCTGCGAAAAAGATCCAACATTATTTAGAGACGAATATAAACATCTTTTTGATGCCTTGGAGGAAGGAGAAGAAGTCAACCCACCTCTCACAACTATCGAAAGTTTTGAAAAAGATGACTGTAATGGAAACATATATATGACCCTTTCAAATAATAACACTGTAGAATATAAAACAGCAAGAGGTAAACAAAACAGCCAAATCCTTGAGTTTAGTGCAAAACATGGCGTTTGGGTCGTGTTTAGCTTGTACCGTGTAAGAATGAAATCCAGTAAAGATACAACTGTATCAGGAGAATTGAAAGAAACACCAACTCAGTTACATTTTGATCAGCCAGATAGCGTAGCAATGCCACCACGTGCGACCGCGGTGCCACCAGAAGATGAAATGGGACATCAACTTGCAGCAGCACAAACTCCAACGAACGATGTTGCGGTACAGCAGCTGAATGTAACCAGTAGTGACAATCAGAATCATGTTAAGTATTTAGAAGGACGTGTTAAAAATTTAGAAGAAGAATTACAGAAACTCAAAGTACAAGCTCCGCCTAATGTAAACCAGGACATTCCAAGACAGCTGTCAAATCCTGACATAAATGTGTTGACTGAAGAACTAGGAGATAACATGAACATTGCGAAACATTTTCCTGAACTTGTAAATTCTATTGACACCACGCCTTTCTGTGATCAGTTTTACGCTAAAGAAATCTTAACAGAAAGTCAAATAGATACAATTCAATCTCTCATGAGACGTGAAAATCACAGTGACGCAAACAGAGAATTATTGAAGATGCTGAAAGCAAAGCGTCCAGAAAAGGCTGTAATGATTGAAGTATTGAATGCCACTCAGCAACAACATTTACTGAAACTGTTTTACCCCCGACCGTAATGACTTCATAATTATAAAATGTTTAAAATAGAACGTTACACACTGTACATATGCATGGAATTGAAATAAAAGTTTATTATTATTAGTTTGTTCTATTCTAAAAAGCGTTGAGAAAGATGTGTTTCATACCGTTAAACGTTGCTTTGCTGTGGCTTCATTTTAACTATAATGCACATGTGCACATTCTTAATGGATGAATATGATGAATTAATCTTGGAAACTTCTAATCGACTGATAGGTGAACTACATAGGTGTCGCTCAGATCTAGATAATCTTAAATTTAGCCAGATCGCATCGTTCTTTTCGAGTCTTTTTTTGTTAATGTAAAAGATTATTTCTTTCTAATTTGCGTATTGTGAATTTGTTCTTTGTCTTTCTGTCTATCAGAGCAAGTGTAACTAGTAATTATATAACCCAATGCCATTATAAAATGTATGTTTATCTGAAAATAGTGATAAAAGCTTTGATCAAATATAAGAGTAAATGTTTATATGAAAAGTTCATCGGTAAAATAACCAACTATACAACGTAAGCAAACGTATATACGTATTTAACATAGTAAGAAGATTATCAGAAGAATGCGACGCTAAATCCATTTTCATTATAATCTAAACATCTAGACATGAAACAGATAGGTAAACTAAAACAGAAAAAGGCGAAAATAGTTAAAATGATATCAAAAGGGACAAGTAATTAGTTTTACAGTCAAGAACATAACTCGGAAAATGTTAACATGTAAGTATTGCTTTGGTTATGTCCCATAATATTACATTATAGAAATAAATTCACTCATGAATGTTGTGTAGTGTAAATTAAAATTGTGATTTTGCAAACTTTGATGTAATCAATTAAAACAAAACATAGGAAAACGCATACGAGAAAATTATACAACTTTCTGTTCATTATAGCTTAATATCTTAGTTAACTTAATAAATAAAGGTACCACTGATCCTATCAGGAAATAATCTAGTGATTATTAAGGACGACAAACAACTTAAATCGGTTAACCAGCTTACTTTCGGAACGTGGATGGTTCTACTTAGATGCCCGCTTGTGCCTGAAATGAAACACGGAGGGACACTTGATATAGTCATACACCAGTAGATCACCGAATAACCTAAAATATACTGTGTTCGTGCGACAATTACCCACCTCCAAAAATCGTTAAGTTTATCTAATGATCTTAAAGACATATTAAATTTCATGACGCAATAGAATTTCATTGTCTCTAAGTAGGTTAAAAACGTAATAGATATTTATAGCAAACTGCTACCTAAACTGTTTGAAAAAGGGTATTTTTTTTATCAAATTTGATATCCACAACGGGAACCCACAGCGGAACAATATGGAAATCGGTCTGATAATTTTTTTTGTTACATTTGCTTACGTTAAAAGTCTTTCATACGTTAAAGACAACGCGTCCCAAAATTTGTTTATTTTTAAGAAAACTTTGTTCTTGATAGTACAATGCTGTCAAAATTACAGATTGTTTGATTTAATATACCATTCAACAATTACCGTCTACAAAAAATACCTTTAATCTTAATGGTAAAGACCAATGAAAAAAAACTTATTTAAGTACAATGAAAATTTTGTTTCAGATCGAGCGGCGTTTCTTTTCAATAATTTATATGCGTTTCTGGATAAACTTCGCTCTTAAAGCAGCACGCCTCCAGATTAATGCTAATTTTATGAAAATTTGAAAATGTATTTAGCAGTGTAATATTGTGAAGTTACCAAAAGAATGCATTTTACACATTATCAATGGCACTTACAACCCAGGTAAATTACCATTAAGAGGTCAATATGTGCAAAAAAGCTCTTACTGCGTTAGTAACGCGGTAGAAATATAGTTATAAATACTGAAAAATCGGTCATTAAAACGAATAAAACATGTAAATTATTACTAGAATTTGATTCTTTATACTTTTCCTAAATCTTATAAATACATTTTTCTCAGGTTTGATTTTATCGAAATATTTTTGCTCATATTGGTACAATTTGCTCATATTAAAAAAGGAGAGTTACTCTGAAGCAAATTTTGATAGTTATTTCAACGCACAATTAAAGGTATATGGACGTTAACCATTAATAAAGACTTTGTGTACCCCTCTTTGTTAATTTTATCTGATAGCTTTTCATACTGAATCGGAATTGGTAATAATCGTTTTTTCATTTACTTCAAGCTCGAAATGGGTACATACGTTTACGCAATGAACAAACTGCACAAACTACGAAAAAGGAAGTTTTAAACCAGATATAAGAACAAATCATTACTTTTGTTTGTTCTATGACGCATTTATAAAGAACAATGAATAATTAGTTACAATTGCTAACAAACAAATTAAGGACTTTCGGTTTTGTAAATAACCTTTGTCTTATACAGGATCAGTCATTTACCCACTAGACGAGAGAAAAAGCATAAACTTTACGAGCTTTCCTGTAAGAGTGGTTAAAATGTCTAAACACATAAAATTCAGTGGCGACTGTGACGATAATATTGAATTATCAAATCACCAAACTGTCGCTACATGGAAACCCGTTAATTCCGGTGGATTTGCATTTAGTGAATCTGAACTACGACCTGGTGATAATATTACATTCAAAGTAGAAGGTAGCGGCCGCTGTGATGTTGGTTTGTTAATGGGTAGTAAAGATCAATGTTACTTCAGCTACTCACACGAAATACGGGTACATCGAAAAGCATGCATTGTAGAAATTCATTTCAATGAAACTGGCAATCAGGTAAGTGTTCAGCATTTATTAAAAACGGATAAACTGTTGTTATTATTTTTCAACACAATGTTGGTTCTTAACGTCTCCTGATTTATTAGAAGTCGAATTAAAGATACATAATTAGGCTATCCAAATTATGTTTAGGACGCAAATTGCATAAAAACTAATTAGTGTTAATTATTACCAAGTATGGATTTACGACATCAAGTTATTGGAAAGGTTATAGTTAACAAAACTAAATGCCACATATCTTTTTAATAAACTTCAACTCATAAAACATTTTCATCAATCTTTGTTAACAATTTAGAGTACTTATTTAGATTTAATATTTTTTCAGGTTTGTTTTGAATATGACCAGAGAAAGGAATATATACCAACGGAAAAGCAGACGAAATTTTGGATTGTCGCTTGCATCCAATACGGCGACCTGTGTGTTGAACTTATGTCACAAAGTAAGTTACTCTTAAAATGTTAAAAGCAACAAGAAATAAAAATATATTATTAAATTTACATATATGAATTGAATTTCTATACACTATCTATTCTAAAAATATATCATTAAAAAGCTGAAAATATTGTTTTAATTTACTTAGGAAACAATAAGCTCATAGATACACTTTCTATCTTTCTTTCATTAAAATAATATATATGTTTATTTACTTTTAGATGATTCCTTATCTAAGTTCTGTTCCACAGACAAAGGGAAAAATGTCAGACTAAGTGAAGAAAAATCAAAATGTTTCTCAATAAGCAAAAATCCGGCGTCAAAGTGTTTCCTATCTGAACAGATAAGACCAGGCAGCAAAGTTTTGCTCAAATGTTCGCCGGTAACAGAAGGTAGACGAAAAATTTGCCAACGCGAATTAAAAGTCTTTGTTAGTAACAAGGATCCAGCATGTTCCCAAAAGTTTCCCTTAGTTCTAATTGAAACACTGGGAAAACAAGATTGCGATGGTACGCTGATTATTTTCCTTTCAGATTGCAGAAGAATCGAGTACAAAACTCCGTCAGGGAAACGAAATGCACAAAATTTAGACTTTGACATTACAAACGGGATTTGGGTTATATTCGAGTTGTATGGCGTGAAGATTGGTGAAGTACAGGAAACAGTTGCTGAATCTATTGATGATGTCTGCGGAAATAATCAGGTAGATAGTGTATGTAATTATCTAAGGCAGAAAGACAATGACTTATCTGAACAATCAGTGAACAAAAATAATGGAAATAATGATAACAACAGACGAGAACGACATCGTGTTTTCCGTTCTGAACGAAAAGAAGCAAATAAAGCAAATTGTAAAAAGAATAACGGTGAAAGGTTTAACATACAGACACACTACTTGGACCTTGCTCATGACATAGATACCATCAATTTTAGCGGACACTTGTTGATGCGTAATATAATATCATTTCAGCAAATGGATAAAATCCGTAAGCTGCACAATCAAGACACGGTCAATGCCAACATGGAACTGCTACATATAATGCGTACAAAACAAATAAACAAATGCGACATAGACGAAATTGTTGACAAAATTGGTCAGCAACACCTGCTGAAATATTTCTATCCCGAATAAGAAAGAAAGAAAAGAAGGAAAGATAACCATTAGTTAAATGAATAAGATACAAATAAGACTAGTAATATTCAATCTTTCCATCCTAAAAATTTTATATTGACACAAGAGTTATGTGTTTACGTATGTCTATGGTAGGGAATTTAGATTTGAGAAAGATGCGAAAAATGCGGCTCTTCTGAGCATTTTCCTTTTTGATGAATATAAATAAAACTACACATGGTAAATCAAAGGCGTCTAATAGAAAGGTATTCAAAGGTGACCATAAGAATGAAATAAAAAATCAACGTTTGTGATATCTGCACGTTTTGTTCTGTTATTGTGTTTATAAGACGCTATATAATTTGATGCACTAATAGTTCGCTGTAAATTAACAATTAAATTATGTTCTTGTTAAGCTACACACTTGATGAGTATATATTTTCAAATAATTATTCAGAAGAATAAATTTGAATGTGACGAGATGCAGAAATATTAAAAACACATGTGGTATTTATTTTAGATAATGAGTGCTTTAGTCCTATTTAAGTTATGGTTTTTGCACACTTGACACACCTTTTCCATTTGAGAATGCTTTTTAAATAAGACAAGGGCATAAAATCGGAAGCGAGCCTTTATCCAGTTGTACCTGGATAAATGCTAGGAAATTAAAACGTGTCACCGGACTCAAACGAAACTTAGTGGCTATATATTTTGATATAACTTTAAACCGTATTGAAAACTTCATTTTAATATACAAACATACAAAATAATTTACATATATTTGATTAAATCCGTATACAACGATGTGATCCTAAGATCGTAGTGATGTTAGTTTTGTCTAAAAGTAAGCACATGACAACACTTTTCACTTTCAATAACGCTCCTCAACACACCTACGATATTATTGTTCAAACCTATTCTTTGGGAATGAATATAGAATCTTTTTGTTTTTCATTAATCTTCAGTAAATAGAGGATATTGAATGAGTGTAAGTTCAATACTAAATTTATTGCACAAGTTGAATAAGATTATATTATGCGAGCCTCTGGCGAGCATAATATCATTTTATTCAACGAGAGCAATAAATTCAGTAATGAACTTACACGAATTTAATATTCTATTAAGTCATTAAAGTGTTTGCATTTCAACTGGCCTTTCAATTTAGGGAAGAGTTCGAAATCCTTACGAATATAACGTCACTTTTCTTCAATTTCAACACTTGACGGACTCATCTGTCATCATCAAGTATTGTTTCTCATCCTTCGCTGTCCCGTGTGTACCGTTTATACACTATAGGCCGCACTAGAGTTTTATTTTTCGTTGACTTTAATATTATCATCAGTTCAATGGCGTATGTACAAGACCTAGACAAAATTGAATAAATGCCTTTTCTTTCCATTTTTCTTCCGACTTCATTTTTTAACTATATGTTTACTGTTTTTATTCAGAAAGAAGACACCGAAAAACAGTTAAATAACGTTACCATCCGCAATTCTCTGGTGCGGCATTATCCTTTTATGCATGTGCTATGGTGACTGTTACTTTTATTTGGCCTTTCGAAATTATTTGATTATTATAATTAAACATCTGATAAAGATGTGAAGTTTTCGTTAGTTAACCACATGTATTAATTAATAAGTAAATAATAAAATTCGTACTTAAACTTTTGGATAAACATTTGTATATATTTCTTTATATATATTTATATGACCATTTACACATAAACATAAAATCATATCCTTAAATCTGTTGTGTTATCTTTTATGACATCTTTATTACTCAGACAATTTGACTTTAATACGGATATATGAAACGCCAAGTATATTCTTCTCTATCTATATTGGAAAATGTTCAAATTGTTCATCAATATACAATACCTGAAACAATACCTTTGTTAATACACAAACAAATAGGCTTTGTAGCTACAATAAAGCGGTATTTTAAAATATAAGTGCAGTTTATGTGTTGATCTCGCCATATATACAGTTTTTAATATGTCTTCTAAAGTTAAATTCAGTGATGTTCACGGAGAAAATATAGAAATTTCTGGAGATAAATCATCAGCAATTTGGATTCCAAAAGCCTCTGATGGATGGGCCTGTAGTGAGACAGAACTCAATCCAGGCGAGGTAATTGAGTTGAAGATAGAAGGGAACGGGCGATGTGACATTGGTTTTATGAAAGACGAACAAAGTCAAAGATGTTTTAAAACGCTACATGAAATACGATCTCATCGCAGATTATGTTGTATTGAAGTTTCCTATAAAGAAAGTGGGGATGAGGTAATTATGTTTTGTTTTATGTTTTATAAGTAAAGGGTAATATTTATGTAAGATATTTTGAGAAAAATTGTTTATAATAATTGAATCAAATATAAAAATAGAGAAAGGGAAAATAATTTATTGAGTATCCTTTTGATATGAAATTGTTGTTTCGTCTCGAACAGGAAATATAGTTGCTATTGAAATACAATATGAAAATAATGAAACGGCTTAAGAGTTTCTAAATGAAAGTCAAAACGCAATGTTTTTGTTAAACTCGTTTTAATTTTAATTTTAGATATCTTCGAAATTTGGCGAGAAGGTATCTACAAAGAAATTACGAAAGGAAACAAATCTTTGGATAGCAATTTTCATAAGATATGGTGATATGTCTGTTGAAATCTTAACCAAGGGTAGGTATATATTTTTGATGTGGTATATATAATAAACGATACAATAATCTTATTAAAGACAAGATAGGAATTGATTTGGTATGGACATACACTTTTGAACAAGATTGGAACAGAGTGATAAAGCTGTGTCTATAAAATTCGTCATGTCGTAACCTTTACTGTCAATAGTACACAAGTTGACAAAACTGAAATTTTGTCCTCAATAACTTAAATGTTATCTTAATCAATGTTATCTGAAATAATATTGCCAATAACGTTTAAAAGCAAATAAGTTATAAATGTTTCGTTCAAATGAATTAAATCGTTTAATCTGTAATGCTGTGTCATCTATTTATAGATCAACCTCAGAAAAACAAGAAATTTTCATCTAGCAAACACGGTTCAAATATAAGACTAGAAAATGATTGCACATTCGCCGCATCTGTCTGCAAAAATCCAGCATCTATATGTTTCATATCAGAGCAGTTGGAAGTCGGTCAAATATTCAATCTTCATTGTGCACCCGAGAACGAAGGCAATAGGCAACCCCTTCGATACGAATTGAAAATCTATGTTTATGACAAAGACCCACTGCATCTTACGAAAGATTTCAAACATTTATTTCATGCAGCTGAGAGTAGAAGAAATGACCATCCTCTAACAACTATTGAAACTTTCGAAAAAGATGAGTGTCATGGTATTATAACTATCAAAATGTCTGATAGTAAAACTGTACAATACAAAACTGCGAGAGGTAAACAGAATACACAAACATTAAACATTGACTCAAAAAATGGCGTATGGATTGTTCTAGACCTTTACAGAGTAAAAGTAAAACTGGAAAATTGCCAAACAATGATGCCTGAGGAAGATGCTGCTTCAAGTAATGCAATATCTATTCCCATTGATCAGCTCGATAGTTTGTCACATCCACTTTCTAATCCATCTGAAGTTCAATCTGAAAGCGGCACCGAGTCACAGGCTGAAGGCGGCAATGAGAATGTAGTAAGGTATCTCGCCGGACGTGTCAATAACTTAGAACAAGAACTTCAAAACATGAAGGTCCGAACTCGGATATCAGCATCGTCAATGCCACGGCCAATGTCATGTCCAGATATGAATATATTGACCAATGATTTAGGTGATGAATTGAACATACAGAAGCGGTTTCCAGATTTGGTGAGAAGCATTGATACAATGACATTTTGTGACCATCTGTTCGCAAAAGGCGTTGTGACAGATGTACAAATGGATGCCATCCATGCAATATTCAATCAAAGAGGGTCACCAGAAGCAAACAGGGAACTTCTGAAAGTCATGAAAACCAAACGAATCGAAAAATCACTGATGATAGAAATTGTAGAAGAGACTCAGCAACAACATTTGCTAGAGATGTTTTATCCTCCTACTAACTCATTTACTAGACGATGACCAACGAATTAAACTAACTTAGAAGCACTACACGAAATAATTGTATAAAGATGATTGTGTGTCTCTCTTGATATCTTTAACAATTAAACGTTCTGAATTTTGTTCAGTATATTAAAAATTTGCTCATGAATAAGGCTTGTATACCCTAATTCAGCGCCCGTGTTTACGAAGATTTATCAACATTTATATCTAAAAATAAACATCGTCTTTCTTACAAATATTCAAAATGAAATTTAACTTGCGTGTTACATAATCGTAAAATGATCTCATTACTTTCTACAAAATGATGAATCTGTTTTAACAGATAATGCTTCTACCTGACTGCTTGTAAATGGTCTGCATATATGTATGTACTTCTTTACCATTATTTTGAAGTTACTTCAGACCTTGATTCAGATAAATTCAGTTCTCAGACACCCTTTTTACGATAATTATAATTACCGAAATAAATGGGTTTAATTAGACAATATTAAAACTACTTGTTTGTTAATATCTTTATATTTGTACCAATTAAGATATTTTAAATATATCTTTTTTAAACGAAGTATTGTAAAGATATTACACAACATTTTAGCTAATTAGTAATTACCAAATATAACAAACAACGGCAACAACTATTTTAAGTAACGTCACAATGTTCAACAGTATGGCTAAAATATTGAATATATAATGTTTTGGTTTATTTTCCATTAAAATATATATATCCATATCAAATATCATTTAAAGAATATGCGTATAAATCTTTGTTCATCATTACAATACATTAAATATGACTGCAAATAAAGAAACAAATATTTACAAAGGTCGTTATTATCCTACGTTCATTAAACATGTACAAGGAAAACGTTCATGATATAATATACAGTCTAAAATTGGTCACTCTTACAAAAATGAGTATCGATTTGTAGCATGTAAAAGAAATAAGCTTGTTAAATGTCATAAGGAAAATACTACAAGCATTCGTCTATTAAAGTAAAATCATTATGAGTTAAACAATTTCATATTCGGCGCTTGCAGAGATGGAGAAAAAAAACTTCCAATTTTGCGATTTTTCCTAAACTATAGTAAACGTGTGAATGGATTTAAAAAAACTCCACAAGATCTGAGAAAAATATAATAATTGTTATTTTTTCAAAAATTACGCATCTATTTGAAAAATATACGTGATCGTGGTCGAGAGAACAAATTTTGTTCAAACCGCTACACACGAAATAAAATAATATACGCATTCCTCTCTTTCCGAGTGGAAAACCGAATAAAGCAAATTGTCATACAATATGCCTAATCATGTTTTCAAACTTTAAATATTTTTTTTCTGTTCTATATTTGAACCCTTACATGAATGGGCTAGTTGCCATTTTTGAATTAATTTGTCTGTATATATTCTTTTGACGACTTTAGCGATATTTTTTAAATGTGTGGATAATTGATATGATATATCCAATGATGACATTTCATGTTTGATTTAAAATGCTGCTGATAAAATCTATTCACTTAAAGCTATCGATAGAATAAAGCTTACTTTTCATAACAGTAATGTAGACTAAAGTCAATTTTTTTACCTTAGTATTTTTCTTCAGATAATGTTCTGCATTTTTGTTTTCAAATCTTAGTTTTAGTAATGTAAGAGAATAAATGAAATGAACTGAAAATGAAATTCTAATGGAATTCACAATCACAATTGTAATCAAATTCCGAGCAAAAGTAAGAAAAAACTAAATGTCCATATATTTGGAATCATTAACTTTTTCTACTTGTTTGTTGCTAATACACTTATATTATGCAAAAGTTATCTTCTAAAGGGTTAGAATAAATTAAACACATAAATAATTTATTAATAAAAGACACATGCCATAAAATAACATTATCCATATCCTTATATTTTTCTGGTCTTTCGGGATCATTGATGCCAGCACTATTAAGTGTTGAGAATCGAGTACCGCTCAAGCCGGTGCTAGGGGCGTGAGGGATGTTGCACTTATTCATTATCCCTCATGTACAGGCTCAATCAAACCAAGTCTGCAATTCTTATGTAATTTTGTTGTGATAAATGCTTCTAAGGGATCATTTTCTTTCCAGATTTTACTTCTTAAAAAAGGGCAAACATTAATTCCATAATGATTAAATGGTGGTTTTAGAGAATGCTTGTTGCCTGAAGAATGAAAAATGTGAAAAAATATCATAAAATAGGTTATCTAAATATGAAAACAAATTGTAAACAAATTATTTACTATGACTGCACTTCTTGCCAAAAGAAGCAACAGATAAAAAGTTGTTTCAGTTAATTTGCCAATCAAAAAGCTTTTGAGAAAAAAGCATTTCTGAGGCATAATGGGCCTTTAAGCAACACAATGTGATAGTATTTTACTCTAATATCGAAATCACGAATCCTTTTACAGAATGATTATTTTTATCCTCAATACAAAGGGAGGAAAAATGCCTTGATGCGAACTAGAACAAGCAAATGCATGCCTTGTAACCTAAACATGTGTATTCTATATGAACTATTTAGAGACACTATTATTTTTAATAAAAAAATATTTGCAGACTAATTCATCAATTAAACAGACGAATGGAAAATTTAATATTATTTACATATATTTACATTTCAAATTTCCTTTAAAGTATTATGTGCGTAAGTATTTGGCAATATCGACCTGAGACTCGTTAATTTTCGGAAGCTTTTTCGTTAATTTCCGTTCTGAATTACGATAAACTAAATTAGATGTTTACCTTATTTTATACTTATGTCAGGATGGCCTAGTGTGATAGCATAGCAATTGCAAAGTTGCAAGTTCGAATTTTAAACAAACGTTTTTTTTTCAAATGTCTTTAATTGTTTTCTTAAATCTATGTAGCATTTTGGATGACGATTCCTTAATTTCTTGTGTATTTTCTTAAAACAAGTATAACAATTTGTAACGTCGCACAATGATTCAGTCGTACAATAGAAGTTCGGCAAGCACAAATAGTTATTATTCAAGTTTCATTAAGATTCGAACTCACAACTTTCACTTTAAAACCAAATATCTTAATTCCTTAACACATAGGCTAGTTAGGCGCTAGTTTTGTGTTGGTGACTTTAAGTTATTATACATAAAACGTATACCGATATGCTTTAAAAATCCTACCATTTACTTCGGAATACTACAATTACCGACAAAAGGTCATTGAATGTCTAAATGTCTCAGGTCAAGATTGCCAAACAATGGTGTCAAATGAATAGACGGGTATTAAATTTGTTTTGTTAATTAAAAACATAGTTACTTTTCTTTTGAAACCTAATGAGACCAACACACCTGCTTGTATTTGAATGACATGTCTTTGTCAATAAAACTTAAATAATGGAGCCGTTATATATGCATGACTAATCTTCCATATTAAAAAAGCAATAAACACGGCATATTTAAAACATATCAAATTGCCGTCTTATTGTCTAATGGGTTCTCTGTAAAAAGGAATCTTAACATCTAAATTCACTTTTTAAAGTGTAAAAAATTTAATGAACTCTAAATTTGCTGGGACTTTGAATTTGTTAAGGAACAGTTATTGAAGTAAGAATGTTTTTTTGTTCAGTTACCATAGGTTTATTTTTTTCCATTTTAAGCATACAAACACAATATAATTATTATCATAAATTAGATAACACTAACAAGAAAGGAAACTTATAATTCTTTCCAAGACCTTTATTATAGTTTGATTCCATCGTGTATTTTGAAAATAAGCAAAACTAACCTGCAAATAATAGACTCATATACTAGATGCTACTTTAATTTCAGGGTTTAGCTTGTTTAATTATTCAAATGTTAATTTTGTTCATAACATTTCTTTGAGAGGTTGTTTTTGTCAGGAATATTTAAAATTCGTAAAGCTAAGCTGACAACTAAATTAAAGATAAAATCTAATCTAGAAAATTGTATAAAGGTAAGACAATAAACTTCAGATTGGTTTCATGTTACTTTCTGCAAATTATTTTGTGACAAATTAATTTCACATTTAATAGGTGAATTATGTACATGAAACAAGACCTATGAAAATATAATTTAATCATTATATATCGTCAGATTAATGTTCTAATTAGGAATAATAAATATTATCACTCAGTTTATAGTAATATTTGAAGGTTAAAATATAATTGTTGCAACATGTTTATACATAATAATTCAAATAGAGTGGTCATGAAATAGATAAGTCTTGATAATTAATCATATCCACACTTAAGACCACCAGCAATCAAGACCACTTTACTGCAGTTGCTTTGATGGTCTTAATTGAGGGTTTTCACTATATATATAGAACGTGAATATCCTTGTAACCATTGATGATGAACGGCAGCAAGCCGGAATATCGCTTGTTTGCATGCAGGTGCAGCAGGTTTACAACTATTCAGAATAAGTTATTGCTTGTATGTGATGCACCATTTCAGCTCAGTTTGAGCGCCGTGTGAGCACTGTGAAAGCGCAGAGGAAGCGCAAAGAACGCAGTAGAAGCGCAGTCCAAACAAAGACAATCGCCAATTAAAACGCCGTAAGAACGCATTGCAACTCCATGGAAGCTCCGTTGAAACGTCATGATCTCCGTGTCATAAAAAATATCAGATTTTTCTTGCCATCTCGCGGCGCTTTGAAAAATTAATCAACGCCGTTCTTAAACAGTTATACCTTAATTAATCTTGAATTGTAAAACAATTTTTGTTTCATGTTCCCGTTGTTCAGATTATTCTGCACGTCTGATTTCCGGACAGTTAAAAAATAAAAGCTTTTTTGGATATAGCAAATAAAAATATTTCGGAAATTGTACAAGCACGATAATAGATTTGAGGGTTGACTTCTAGTTGATATCGATTACAGTCTGTGTTTATTCGGAGACGCGCAAGTCTTCTATAGTTCATATGAACACTAAGTGCTCAGAAGTAATCTTTACATTTGATTAATGAAACCAAATTCGCGCCGTTTAAATGCTACAATTACATAAACTATTCCGCTATAGTCAAAACCAGTTCAACCATGGGGACGTTTGAAAAAAAAAAATGAAATGAAAATTTTCTATTTCCGGTACTACATAAGACAATGCCAATGTCTTAGAATTTTGGCATGTTCAACGTTATATGACCCTCTTCAATATATGTTGAATAATTCAACTTTTACTGTCATGCACCGTTTAGTTAAATCTATAAAGTAAAGAGACTTGTAAAACCTTTTCTCATCATACAAAACAATGTACATACCTCAAATAATGAAAATAGTAAAGTATTTTATGATAACCAACCTTTAAATGTATGTAGTAATACGATGAACCATCCGTGTATGC